CAACTCCACCAACACTGAATTAGTGTCCCAATTTTCCCATATCCCCTCCAACATTTAGCATTTTCTTTTTCTGTCATATTAGTCAATCTGATAGGTGTGAGGGTGGTACCCCAGAGTTGTTTTAATGTGCATTTCTCTGATCAAATGTGATTTACAGCATTTCATCACAAGACTATTGATACATACCCTTTTTATAAAGCAATCTATGCAAATTTCCTTGGCTCATATTTTGTTCAAATAAAGTTAAGAATTTATTCATTTTTATAACAACTCTCAAACATACTAATGTAACTGATAAAATCATTTACAATTTTCATATAACATTAAAATAATGTGATAGATGGGCTTGTTTATCTGTAAAATTTTTCAAACAGTAGTATATTGATGGGTATTGTTACTCAATTATTTTTCAACCAAATTAAGACATTTTATCTTTAGCAGCTACAGCAGAAAACTCTGTTATACAAATAAAATGTTAGGAATGGCAGAATCTATATTGCTTCGCTTGATAAGCCAAAGGATTTTTTTATTCACCATAGCCAAATCATACTGATTTTCAGATTCAAACACTTAATTTCAACATTCAGTACTACTATAAGAGAAGTCTATTAACCATTTTTTGTTCAGATGGAGAAAGACCAAATGAATCATCCTATTTGTCCATGGGCATATGGATTCCTTATTAATTTATATTTAGAAACAATGATTCACTTCATGTAGACTGGTCAAGTAGTAAGCTGGTCTTAAATTTTTAAAAATAGGGAAATAATGCTAACATTTAAAAACTTTTTTCTGATAGGTCTAACTTTCAGATGTAGTCAGCTTATCTTTCTGAGAGTATGAATTTAAGGACCTTGCACTGATTTTTAGAGTACTGTTTTTTCAGGAATACCCATCAAATTTTCAACTTTTAGGTGGAAATTCTTGTTATAAAATGAGTGTTTAATCCTTAAGAAAAAAAATGCAATTTCTTATATTAGCTCAAAAATTCTTCCAAGTACTTTGTAATGAGAAAGCCACCATATTTTATGATAACATATAACATATAAGTGCTCTGTTGTCTGATTTCATAGTGTCACATGATTTTGCAAAAAGCCATCCTTTTGCTGTACTCTTATAAAGCTACTCATATGTACTTGGAGAACTGTAGCATACATCGTGTCCAAATTGCTGGTGTGGGGGGGCAGCACATCTCTGACTAGTACATGAGATCAGTTGGGTGCCTTCTAATATCTCTTACATTAATATCATTTTTTTCCATTTAAAAACCTGCAGTTATATTGAAATTTTATCTTGTTGTGACAGTGCTATCTATGGGTTTGTAAAGTTGCAAATCTTCTGTAATGTCAGTTTTAACAATATAAGGTGTCCCCAAAGTGTCTCAGTACAGTTTTAAGCTCTAATAGGTTTAAACTGTACTAAAATGTTTGGGAGGCTATGTGTACACACACACACACACGTATATATATAGATACAGATATCTCTAATCAAATGACCTTAACTACATTCTTCACTTCCAATGCAAAATAGAAAGATACTGGTTTCTCAAATGATTGATCACAAAGGTCTTCAAAAATTGGGGCTATTATCCTTCCAACCATATTCTCTGCAAGAAGAACCATTCAAAGATATTTAGCATATAATAGGCCAAACATCATTTCAATAGCTGCAGATAGTACCAATAGTTCTCCTGCTGAAGGAAGTGTTTTTACACTATCCAATTCTGGAAGCAAACTTACTTGGCTTTTTAAAAAGTTTGTTTTTGCTTATTCAAAGCATCTAGTTTTTTCTCCGGAAAAATAATCTTGCTGTAATATACTCTGTATAAACATTTTTAAGATATTTCAGTTTATTGTTCACTTTGTAGTTAAAACATTCATGCAAAAAGCAAACAGTGCTCTTCTCAATCAGTAATTGTGAATCCCAGTGATAAGGACTGTGGATTAGATTTTCTGAGTCTGAGCTTTTTGTTTTTCTGTATTTTGACTATTTGTCTCTGTTGTCCTTACTCATACTAGTTTCAGCTGCTCTAGTGAATTCTCCCTTCAAACTGGTTATGCATTTATTCTTCACAAAGGGATGTTTACACTTACAATTAAAGACAATAAAAATTGACAGATTTAAATACTGAAATTTTCAAATGATCATAATCATATTTGAGTTATTTCAATTTGTTTTTAAGTTGCAAAGGCTTGGGTGTTTGTTTTTTGAACCAGCTTACTTGCCAAAATGAATGGTGAGAAAATATGTATGTTTCAATTTTCACATAAAGACTATTAAACTTCAGTTTCACATACTTTATACTTAAATTCCACCTGGAAACAACTGTGGCATGAGCTTACACTGCCAGTGCTATTGACATGCAATGACTCAAATTTGACCTCATTTGTGCAGGAAGGATCTAATGATGACTGCGTTGCATTCAGTCATTTTGAACAAATTTGCTGTTACTCTTGGCTTCTGACATTGACTCACACTTTGTTCTCACTGAAAAAAGTGGATGTATATTCCTTCACTTCCTCCCCCAGCCCAAGAGTCTTGTACTCAACAATACAGAAAACCTGAATACAGAAAACCTGATTTAAAGAAAGGTAGCAAGAGAGCCAACTAAGCAGAGTCTTCCCAAGGGCGTGTGAGGATGGAAAAGGGCCACCAACACCCAAAAGCTGGACAAGATCACAAAGCTTTTTGTAACAAACTCTTTCTACTGTCAGGGACAGTGGAGCCACTACATGTGAACTCTAACATCACAGACCTATCTAAATTTACATTATGCTTACTGAGGAAGTGGAACTTAAGAAAGGTAATTAAAAAAAAAACACAGCTGGCCTGGACCAAGTAAGTATACACAGAAGACATCTGTGCTGCAGGCAACAGCTTTGAGGGAACCGACGGACTCGTTCTCAAGGTATCTGAAGAAGGGAAAGACACAAAAGACGTAGGGGAAAAAAAAATAGGCCTTACTACCAGCTTGCATGCCTTGCCACTCTATACAAAATGTCTCTCAGAATAATCATGTGCATCAAGGACATCCTTGTTGAGGCTCTCTGAAAGCCCCAAGGTGGCTTTTACAAATAGTGTCTCAGTACACCTTCACCATGTTGGTGGTTTGTCTTTTATAAAACAAAAACCACTTGATTTGGCAGATCAAAACACCTTAAAGGCTCTCCTCCAACAAGGTGCCCTCCCAAGCATATGTTAGGATTTCGTAAGATTCCTTATAGCAACAGTGAGAACCTCAGGTAATGATTTTCCAATTATTGTTACTCAGTCGTTTTTCAGTCATATCTAACTCTTCGTGACCCCATTTTTTGGGGTTTCCTTGGCAAAGTTACTGGAGTGGTTTGCCATTTCCCTCTCCAGCTCATTTTACAGATGAGGAACTGAGGCAAACAGGATTAAATGACTTGCCCAGGGTCACCCACCTAGTAAGTGTCTAAGGCCAGATTTTAACTCATGAAGATGAGTTTTCCTCACTCCAGGCCTGTCGCTTTATCCATCGCACCACCTAGCTGCCCCAATTATCATAACAAGTGATAAAAGGGAGATGTGTACTGACCAAAAGCCTTCACCATTGGCATGAAGGTCTAGTGCAGACCAAAACAAGGAAGGACTTCTTACAGATGATACTATAACACCTCCTGTCTGCATATGACATTGTACTGATTGTATCAAATTCCAGAACATTGCTGTTTTCTGAAGGAAATCTATAATCAGTAAGGAGTTTGGCCTGCTACGCATCCAAGAAAAGCCGAGTGGTTGAAGAATGACTTTTACTCAGACAATCAAGTATTAAGCGCCTATTATGTGCCCATATTGTACTACGTGCTGGAGATGTAAGTACAAAGAATGAAGCAATCTCTAATCACAAGTTTACATTCTAATGGGGGACATGAGCACATCTAAATATATACAGCATAAACATATGGTGAATGAACAGTTACATGCAAGGGACTTTGTGAGGAAGGGCATGAACAGTTGAGGAGGTCAGGAAAGGTTTTATGCCCAAGATGGCGCTTGAGCTGTGTGCGAAAGGAAGAGATGGACTGTGAAGTGCTGAGGAGGGAGTACATTCCAGGTGTGTGAGATGGTCTCTGAAAAAAGGCACAGAGATTGGAGACAGAGTGTCATGTGAAGTTTCAGAGAAGAGGCCAAGTTGGCTAGATCACAGAGGGTGGAAGAGGGACGTATCTTGGACAGATACTGCAGATGGATGAGATTAGCCCAAAACTGGCCAAGAGGAGGAAGAGACAAACATATTACCTTTGGGAAACATGTAAGTTTTAATGATCTCAAGCTTTAACCTGAAACCGAAGCCCACCTTTTTAATACCATATTCTTCTGGTGATTTTATATGACTGTGATTAAAGGGATATGGAAAACTAGAGTATCTACAGAACTGAAGTTGAGGATGACCCAAAAGGCAATGGAGAAGTGCATGGTTGGCATGAACAGGCAGCAACACGTTAAAAAAATGCACAATTACCAAGGCAAAGCATTCTAAAGGATATCGTCAGAGAAATAACATGGTTAAAAAAGGAGATGGGTGGGTGGCATGGTGAAAATGAAGGATAACTAATACACCTATGTGCTCCCCCAGTTATCTTCACAGAATCAGAAGCACTCAAAGAAAGCCCAAGTACACTGGGTAGACTCGGTGGAAAATAAACAGGAGGACTCTGATGACATGGGAATAGGAAGGCCATGCATGGATGGACTGCAAGAGCACCTGTATCAATGACATCACAGATCACTGAAGTACTGGAGACAGATGTTCAACGAAGTCCGAAATAGGAGTTTGGAGTTTGGAATTTGGGAAAAGGTTGAGGCTAATTTTAGGAGAAGAGTAATAAAGCCACAGGAGTAGATGAGTTGGTAAAGGGAGAATATGTTACAGACGGGCTGAAGACAGAAACCTGGGGAACACCTACATATATGAGGAAAAAGGAGACACAGTCAAGGTTAGTGGGGTAGGAGGAAAACCAGGAGGTTAAAGGTTAAAGTGTCATAAAAGCAAAAGGTTTGGAGAAGGGGAAGGGAATGCGTCAACAACATAAAATGTAGAGTTCAAGGAGAATTTGATTTGATTAAACTCAACAAAAAAATAAATGATGAGACTAAGAATGGAATAATGGATTTGTCATTTTGAATATAACTTTCAGTAAAATTGTGGGAACAGAAACAAGATTAGAAGGGACTGAGGAATGAGTGAGTAGCAAGAAAATGGAGGTATAAATATAGAAGCATAGCTTCCAGGAATAAGAAGATGAGGGTTCCACTGTATTGTATTCGGGTCTAGGCCCCATATTTGAGAAAGGTAGATAGACGGCATCCAAAGGACAGTAACCAAAATGATGAGGGGCCTTGAACCTCTGCCACATGAGGACTGGTTCAAGGAACTAGGGATGTTTAGCCTGGAGAAGAGAAGGCTAGGGGAGATAATAAGAGAGCTATTTCCTAAGTATCTAAAAGGCTGTCATTTGAGAGAGGAGACTTTTTCTGTTTGGTCCCAGAAGGCAAAACTAGGAGCAATGGGTAGAACGAGGAAAGATGCAAATTTAGGTATAATGTAAGAAAACATTTCCTTAAAATTGGAGCTGCCCCAAAATAGAATGAGTTGCTTCAAAAGATGACTCTTCAAAACAAAGGCTGGATGACCACTTCTCTGGAAGCTTGTAGTGGGGATCTCCCCCCCAAGAACAGGTTGAACTGAGGAATCACTACAATCCCTTCCAACTCTAAAATTCTATGATTCTGTGATTTTCGGTAAGCCAAGAAGTGGAAAAAAAAGAGGAAAAAGGTGGAATGGGGGTTGGAGTGAAGTAGGCTACAGGAGATCTGAGAATGTGTGAAGGTAGAAAGGACTGAGCCAATGGAGAGGAAAAGCCTGAAGATGCAAGAAAGGGGATGATGGATCAAAGTCCAGAAAGAGGGGTAAATCATCCATAATAATGAAAAGCAGAACTTCATGTGTTGAAAAAAGGGATAGAATAGGTGCTTTCTAAGGTGCCCCACAACCATATGATTTTATGTATCAACCCACAGGCCCACAAGTAAAACAGTGCTTTAAGAGGGCTCAGTCACTTCCCGGCCTGTCTTCTCACAAAACACCAACTTAGGGGCTTAGCGTTTTTTTTTTCCAAAAGCAGTAATAGCAGGAGAATAATCAGGCAAGTTGTTTGGAAGTATCTGGTGATTCAAAGGGCAGGTCCATAAAATCTTCCTCTGAGGGAGTATGTTTCACTTCTTCCAGGGATTCTTCTGAATCTTGCTGTGAACTACTACTAAACAGTTCCTTGCTTTCATGGTGGCTGCAGAATAAATGTTAGCATTTAGTTGGGTTTAGGATGTTTCTTATTTTTAAGGGGTTGGGAAAAGTCATTTCCAAGGGGAAAAATGGAAAAGAGATTATAGCTTAGTATATCATACAAAATTGGGCTTGAAAACTACTCTTCCCCCTCCTCCTCTTTTCTATCTAATTCAGAAATCAAACAATCAACAAGTATTTTAAAAATGTCTCCCCAGTGCCCAACATCGAGATACGATTAACCCTGTCCCCCTGCCAAAAAGAAAAAGAAAAAGAAAAAAGAAAAAAAGTCTCTGCCTTCCAAGAGCTTATGGTCTAGAACTTCAGTTGCCCTAGGTCAAGCGAGGAATGGGACTGAAACTAACCTAGATAGGTACTATGGGAATAATTTATCTCGTGTACCTCATTGTACTACACAGTAAACTGGTCCAAAGGAGTTTCCTTTCTAAAACAAACAATCTGAATCAGAACTTCAAAAAGTGATTTCTTTTCTCTTTTCTTTCTATCCGCTTTCACTTGGTGATCTCTTCACTACCCATGAGTTCCACTTTTATCTTTCTGCCTATAACTCACCGATCTCTATAGCCTCAGTCTTTCTCCTGAGATTCAGGCCTGCATCACAAACTGCCTACTGGGCATTTTGAACTGGATGTTCTCTAGTCATTCTCTTTCCCCTAAAATCCATGCTTCTTCTGACCTTCCCTATTTGTATCAAGGGCACCACTGTCTTTCTAATCATTTGTGTGTGCAGCCTTGGTGTCATTCTTGACTCCTCACTTTCATTCACCCTACATAATCAATTGCCAAATCTTGTCATTTCTTTCTCCATGATATTCTTCTTTTTATGCAAAGAGACGACACCCGAGATCAGGCCTTCATCGCCTCTCACTTCAACGACTCACAACTGCTTCCCAACTGGTCTCCCTGCTTCTAGTCTTTCCCCATCCTAATCTGTCCTTTGCACAGCTGTCAGAGTAATCTTCCTAAGTAGGTCTGACTATGTTTTTCTGTCTGTCTGTCTCTCTTGCACTAACTACAGAGACTCCCTATTCCCTCTGGGATCAAATATAACCTCTTTGACATTTATAGTGCTTCACAACCTGACTCTTTCCTGTCTTTCCAATCTTACACATTACTCTCCTCTACACACTTTATGGTCCAGCCATACTGGCCTAACCACCACTCCTTGTACACAATTCTCCATCTTCACTCTCTGGGCCTTCATGCTGGAATCTTTTCCTCTTTATTTCCACCTCTTAAAACTCCTGGCTTTCTTCAATACTCAGCTCAAATTCTACCTTTTGCAGGTCTTTCCCAGTGCCCCTGACTCCTACTGTCTTCCCCTCTAAGATGCCTTTCATCTCCTCAGTATGCCTCCTGCATACCTACTTATGTACAGGTTTTCTTTTCCTTTAGAACGCAAGCTTCTTGAGAGTAGGGACTACCTTTGCTTTTTCTTAGTATCTCTAGCACCTGGCACAGAGCTTAGCTCAGAAGCAACCACTTGATAAAGGCTTGACTGGCTTATCTTGGAATCAGATGTAGTCACTTGGTTAATGTGACTCAAATTTTAACTGGTCGGAACCTAACCTAAAAGAGTGAAGCTGAACTCACAGCTGAACTTTAAAAAAAAAAGCAGCAGATAGAAACTTTAAAATGCTTGGAAGTGATGCTAGATAAATGCATGTTATTAATTTCAAAATGTGACTGAGGAAGTATCAAGTAGAAGTTTACACTGTATCCTAACAGCATCAACCACCTGGGCCAAAAGGTGACAATTCAATGTAAAGAAAGGTTAGAAAATGAATACCTGGGGGCATCAGTTCCTTCCTTGTCTTCTTCACTCCATTCAAGTCAATGGCATGCTGTCCTTTGTTCCTCACAAAGTCCTCATCTAAACCAACCTTCCGTAATATGTCTCTGTATCTGCGCTCTGCCTCTTTCCTGGCACAAATCTATACAGTGATAAATTAGATATCTGTAACTTGTGTCCCCCTCCTCCCTCTCTACCTTGTGTTCCATATACTAGCCACCCTGAGTAATGGACGTAGATCTTTTGTGGGCAAAAAATACCTCTTAGATGTTAAGGGCAAAATCATACCTTGGAGAAATGAAGTTTAAAGGCTACAATGGGGATTGATACTGAATAAAATGAATTTAAAGAAGTTAAGAAATCTGAAATTGTTTTCAGTAATTTTTAGCACAGCAGGTAGGGGCTGGGGACCATAACAATCTACTTTCTCCAGGTTTCAGTTAGCCAATTAGATACTCTCTGGGACACATGGGGGCCATCTGAGTGCCCAGCAATCCCAAACAGGCCACTGGAGAAACTTCAGCTGGTACCTCAACTCCTTAGGCAAAAATGGGATCTTAACTCTGGGAGTGCGGGTAGAACAATGGCCTTTAATAACCTTTAGATGGCCAAGGTCATTCCTAGATTTCCCAAGAGAGTCTCAGCAGAACTCCTTAGCTTCCCCCAAACTGCTTGGAACAAATCAAGACCTTATAATGGGCCTTATAATGATCCTGTCTTGACTATCCACATACCACCCAAAATGGTTATTGCCTTGTCTGAGAAGAATTCTGCAAGATGGCTCTGGGGCTCAGGCTGCCCAAACTGAGCTTGTAAAAGTCCTAATCCTAAACTAATCTCAGAGCTATATGGAGAGAGGATACCCACTGGGGAATAAGCGAAATGACCCTGGTGCTAGGTGCTCCTTTTTGTACTCCTCTGTGAGGGACACCATTCCCAAGAAGCATGCTTGTACAAGGTATGGAGTGGCCTTAAGTGACCTGCCCAAGGTCACACAGCCAGTAAGTGTTAGGTGTCCGAGGCTTTGGATTTGAACTGAGTCCTCCTGAATCCAGGGCCAGTGCTCTGTCCACTGTGCCACCTAGCTGCCCCGCAGATATATATTTTTTGAATGACAGTGGGAATAAAATAAGGCCTCCCACTCACATCTTTCCCCTGAGGTTGAGCTAATTATTTAACTGCCAACACCTAAATGTTGGAGGATCACTTAAAAACATTCTCACAGAAGAATATCCAATCCAAGCAGATAAACAAAGGGGCAATCTTTTCCTTGTCAAACAGGAACTCTACCTGTGTCACTTGTTCAAAGAGATAGGGTCTATTCTGGACTCTCCTCTTCATTTCCTCCAGTTCTTGCTTATACTCCTTTGTCCTCTTTTGGTCAGTGAGCCTGAAATTAACAGAATTTCTATAAAACATTCTGTTTTCTTTCAAACTAGAATATGCTTAATTACATTAGAGTAGAATGATCACCTGTAAGTTTTTGTCCTTTAGCAAACTAATTCATTTTCTGATACAACTAGATTGTTAGGTAAAATATTCAATCATCTTGTTAATTCTGCCTGGCTTTTCTCAAGACTTACTGTCGCATGTTTCCCAGTGCTGGTAGTCAGTCAGTCGGTCAATAAGCATTTATGAAATGCCTACTATGTGACAGGCCATGTGCTAAGTACTGTGGAAACTATTCCTGCCAAGACAAAGCTGTGTGCTCTTGAGGGGATACTAACCAATTCTCTTTCAGCTTTGCTTTGTATGTCTCCTTTAAGCTTTTATGGGGATCCATGGCTTTTGCTCGTGAGGTCACAGATTTGTACATAGCTTGACATTTCTTCCTATGTTGCTCCAACCAGTGGGCGCTCTCATTCTCTTTATCTTTCTTTTTTTCAAGGGAGCATCTAAAGAGAGCAAGGAAGAAAGTGAGATGAAGACTGGCAACTTAAATATATGTTATATATACACACCCATATGAATATACACACACCATGTCCCAAAAGTCTTAGGGCAGTTTTAAGCTTTAATGTAACTTTTCTCTATAATATGTATACGCACACATATATATGTACATATACATATATATGTGCGTGTGTATGTGTGTGTGTGTGTGTGTGTATGTATATGTATGCAACTTTTGCCTAGATCTTTGGAGGTCTTTACATAAAAATAAATCGCTGGCCCCTATGAAAAGATATACTTACCAAACCCTGGCATTTGTAGAGCAAGTTACAAGGTACTTCGGGACTAAATACACTGACTTATAGCCATCAGATACCAGAGTCAATTAATCTAAAGTAATACCCATGGCTGCAGAAACTTGAGCAAATCTAGATTTCCATCAAGCTTCTTGCCTACTAGAAAGCAAAAATGTATTTTCAAAACATTCAAAACAGGAATGGGGTTGAGCCCATGGATCTCTGTAAATGCAAATGTACCCACCTAGAGAAAACAGAAATGAGGCCTGCCCCTGGGCACAGGCATCTCATCCCCTCAGCAACACACTAGAGATCTTCACGGAGGTCTTCTAACATTGTGTGGACAGCAGGCAGCACTCGGGTTGTCCCTCATGTTTGTCCTCATCTCCATTCTATTTCCTAGTTAGTATCTTTGACCCCACTTCTTGTATTCAAGTCATCATTGGGAATACGCCGCAGGACGCCTAGCTGTAACCTGGTGGGCTTCAAGTTGCCTGCCGCTTTGATTATCTGGATATTGTGGTATTCTATGATTCATGGCTATACAGTGTCACCAGGATTCTTACCGAAGTTGTACTCACCTTCACACCAATCAATCAATAGACATTTATTAAACATCTACTATGTTCCAGGCAATGCATTAAGTGCTGGGGATACATAAAGGGCAAAAGGCAGTCTCTGTTCTCCAGGAGCTTAAAATCTAATGGGGGAGAAAACATTCAAATAAATCTATACTCAACTCCCCTAAGGTTCCACTCACCATCCCTGTGACTTTTTAAAGCAAGGCACCCCTCTGTGGCCACCACTCCTCTATATGTTTTGTCTTTACTTTTTAGAATATGAATTTCTTGAAGGCAGGCAGGTAGGGGGCACAGGAGATAGAGGGTCTGGCTTGGAGTCAGGAAGACTCATGTTCCTGAATTCAAATCTGGCCTCAGATTTGATTACTAGCTGTGTGACCCTGGGCAAGTCACTTAACCCTGTTTGCCTCAGTTTCCTCATCTGTAAAGTGAGCTAGAGAAAGAAATGGCAAACCACTCTAGTATCTTTGCCACAAATGGGGTCACACAGAGTCAGACATGCCTGAAACAACTGAACGACAACAAAAAGGATTATCTAACTTTTGTATTTGTATCCCCAACATTATTTTGGCATACGGTAAGCACTTCATAAGTGCTTTTCCATTCTAACCCCTTCCAAATCTCTTCTCAGAAAAAGCATTCAAGGTGTACAGGTATGAGGCTTCCTTGCAGACTACAAGACCTCTTTTGTTCCTTGCTCCTGAGCCAAATTTTCTAATGTGTGTTTGCTATCCTCCTCCATGCCAACCTTAGCTCTGAAGTCATCAAGTATTAAGCACTTAGTGTTGGCAGAGATTGGGTGATCACATCAAGCTTCATCTTCTGCAACTGATGTTGTCATATAAATAGCTGCAGATATGTTCACGCTGGTCTGAGTCAGTTTTGACAAGGACTTATAGTACTTCACAGGGATTATCACAAAATAATCAGATGGACCAGTAATGCAGAAAGCAGCAAGACTTTCATTATGGCACATTTTAACTCACAAAGGAAGGCTCAAAGCCTAAACCCGGAAAAGCAGGGCAATAAGAGAGATCCGGGAATGGAAGATCAGGGGGCGGGGGCAGGAATACCACCAATCTGCAGTCACCAGAGCCTCAATGTAATGGTCTTCAAACCACAGGCAGAGAACAGAGTCACCGAAGGTCCTTCAGAAAGACTCCTTTTGGTAACCTTTGGACTGGGCACATATACAGCTTCATCAAGCTCTGTCCTTCCGAGTCAATGTTCAGAATAACAACATCTCATTTGATCCTCACAACATCCTAGAGGGCAGGTGCTATTATTATTCCCATTTTAAAGGTTTGGAAACAGAGGTAAACAGATGTAAAGGGACTTCTCCAGGGTTACACGGCTAGTAAGTATCTGAGGTTGAATTTGAACTCAAGTCTTCCTGACTTCAGGTCCAATAAACTATCCACTCCACGACCTAACTACCTCAGACACTTAATAGATGAATGCCTAAGTTGTACTCACCTTCACACCAATCAATAAGCATTTATTAAACACCTACTATGTGCCAGGCACTTTGCTAAGAACTGAAGAGACAAAAAGAGGCAAAAGGCAGTTCTTGCCCTCAAGAAGCTTACAATCTGTAGTGGCCAAGAAGTGGAAAGTGAGAGGATGCCCATCCATTGGGGAATGGCTGAACAAGTTCTGGTAGATGAATGTGATGGAATACTACTGTGCTGTAAGAAATGATGAGCAAGCAGACTTCAGAAAAACCTGGGAAGACCTGTCTGGACTGATGCTGAGTGAAGTGAGCAGGACCAGGAGAGCGTTGTACACAGAACAGCCACGTTGTGTGATGACTGACTTTGACAGACTTGGCTCTTCTCGGCAACACAAGGATCTAAGACATCTCCAAAGGCCTCGTGATGGAAAATGCTATCCACATCCAAAGAAAGAACTCTGGAGTTTGACTGCAAATCAAAGCAGACTCTTTGCTCTTTTTTTTCTTCTGTTGAGGTTTGTTTTCTCTTTCTGGTGGTTCTTCTTCTTGGTTCTAGTTCTTCCTTACAACATCACTAATGCAAAAATATGTTTAATAGGAATGTATATGTATAGCCTGTATCCGATTGCATGCTGTCTTGGGGAGGGAGGTGGAGAGGGAGGGGGAGAAAAACTTAAAACTCAAAAGCTTATGGAAGTGATTGTTGATAATTCAAAATAAATAAATTAAAATAAACAATTGGAACCATTAGAAAAAAAGAAGCTTACAATCTAATAGGAAAGACAACATGCAAACAAATGTATACAAAGCAAGGTATATACAGAATAAACAAGAAACAATTAACAGAGGGAAAGCACAGAGGGGTTGGGATAGCTTCCTGTAAAAGATGAGATTTTGGTTGGAACTTAAAAGGAAACCAGGGAAGTCAGTAGGCAGAGCTGAGGAGGGAAAGCATTTCAGGTATGGGGGGGACAGCCAGGAAAAATGCCTAGAGCTAAAAGATGGGTTTTTATTTCAAGGAACACTTTGAGCTTATTGAAATCATTGATCAATTTCCCAAATACAGTCAAACTAATTTTGTTCCATATCAGTGTCTCAGAAGAAAAGAGGTGGGGATCTGATGTTGCCATATAGCTAGGTTTACAGTGATGTACAATGTATATTCCTGCCTTGATGCTGGAAATTAAGAACAGTAAAATTCTACCAATTCTACCTAATCTTCTAAATTTCATCTTGCTGACTGCGGCTGAGGACCCCAGCAGCATGGGCTGGGGAGTGTGGACACATGAGATAAATGTTACCTCCAACCCAGTTTGGAATATAACAGAGCCTTACACAAATGTCAAAAGGCTTAACTGCTCACCTAACAGCAGATTCCCTTTTCCTGGTGGCATCTGTGATGTGTACAGGAAGGGTGTTAGGAGAGAGGGAGGCAAGACCACTCAGAGAACGGCTCCTTTGTAATGGAGCCATGGGCGACTGTGGAGGATTCTAGAAGAGATGAAACAAATGTGATTGGAACACAGTGTGAGATTTGTCTCTATCCATTCCAAAGTCCATTCAACTAAGGAGTGAAAAGATTGGGAGCTGCCCTAAACAGAGCCTTAAACACCAGGCTGAACGCCAAAAGGACTAGGGCTCAGATAAGCATGATCAAGGTGGGAACAGCGAGAGCCCCAAATTTCTGGTTTAATTTCTAGTGCCTGCTAAAGACGCAATGGAGTTAATTGCTAAATCTGATGACCTTCTCTCAGTCCTGACCTTTCTTTCCCTCGCTTCAGCATGCAATACTGCTGATCTACCAATCTTCCTGGGTGCGCTCTCCTCTTGTGGTGTCTTGGACACTACTGTATCCTGGTTTTCTTTCTGCCTTTCTGACCCCTTTTCTTCTTTTAAGGGTTTATCATCCTCCTCCTATCTGCTAAATATGAGTATCTCCCATGCTTCTATCCTTGCCTCTCTTCTCTTTCTAAATTCACTTGGCTAGCTCACTGGTGCCTGTGGGTACAATTGTTACCCCTATCCAGATGACTTCTAAATCTGTATCTCTAGACATGCTCTCTCCCTTGAACTCCAGGAGTGTATCTTGTATCTCTCTACCTGGTTATCCTTTTAGGATCTCAGACTCAATGTATCCCAAACATCATCAACTTCCTCCCTAAACCCACCTTTCTTTCCATTTCTCTCTATTTTTACTCATGGCTTTATCTTTCTTCCATCCCCCTAATTTTGAAACCTCAGAATCATCTTTCACTCTTTCTTTTCTCTCATCTTCCACACCCAATCAGTCGCCAAGTCTAATTGATTCTACCTCCATAACATCTCTTAAATAAAGTTCATGTCCTTGTCACCTCCCAAAGGACTACTGTCAAATCCTTCTAACTGGTCTCCCTACTTCTGGGCTCTTTACTCTCTAACTACACTTTGCACAGCTGTCAAAATAAGCCTCCTAAAGTACATGTCTGACCTCAAGCAAAGGCACAGTGGCTGCCCTGGGGTTAGGTCTTCAATACAGCACCTAAAGCCAGAAAGACAGGGACCCTAGATAGAGCCTAGAACTGCCCCAACCAGGGCCTTAAACACTAGGCTAAATGCCAAAAGGCATTTAGACACCTCAGACACCTGGCCTGACACAAAAGGATATTTTCCTACTATCTTGGGATGGAATTCCTGAAGCAATGTCACATGTGAGTTTAGTAAGGGGCCAGATCTTTGACTTTTATCTCCCTAATCTTCCTGCCTCCCTCTAGGTCTCAATGCTCCCCCTGCTTATCCCAGGACCCTAGAAAGTAGAGGCAACCAATGGGTACCCAGGGCCAGCACATCTGCAAGTCCTATTCCTCTATTTCTAATGATTCAGAATCACTAGCCCTCGAATTGAAAGCCTTCTTCCTCTACTACCTCTCCCCACACTCTTCCCCTGTCTAGCATTCTCCTATCACTCTCTAATCCCTAGTAAGTCCCTTAGAAGGCTGCATGATGTTAAACTGCTCTTCATTCTCCATTTCTTCTTCTCACACTTTTCCTATCTTCTGGCACTTATAAAAATCTGGCTTTCTCTACAAGACACTAAATTCCTGGCTGTTTCTAGTTTTTGGTTAGATTTGGTTAGCTCCCATGCCCAAGTTATGTACTAGGCCATGAGGAAGAGTTGGCATATCTGCTCCCTGCTAACATTTCCAGACCCTCTCTTTGCCAACGTAACTAAACAACTTCTCTTTGAGGTTCATGTCTTTTAAGTCACTAAGTCCTGATTGTGGTTGCTGTGATATATTGGCTTCCACATCACTCCTCTAGCCTAAGTGCTTATAATTTCACCTTGGGTTCTGTTGACTCCTTGCTGGGCCTCTGTCGGTGGTGGAGATCGGCAGTTCTCAGCTGGAATGGTTTGTTTCGTGTTGCCTCTCGGGTTTCCCTTTTTCGAGCAGCTTCTTTTTGGAAGGCCCTATAAAGACCCTTAAAGTCAGGGACACTGGGATTCACCCTTGGTTGGAAATCAAAGTCTCTCTGCAGGAAACGGAGTTTTTCTTGCCGCGTCCGAGTGGATATTCGAGACTTGGGATCAGTGTATCTATTAGAAGTGATGGGGGATGAGGCTGTCTGCAAGAGATCTTCGGCCCTTGTCTGTATGCGGAGTTTCCTGCACAGTTCAGCTTCTGTGAGGGAAAAAGCAAGAAAAAAGGCTTGCAGGGGAAGGGGCAAGACAGGAGCTCCTATGCCCAAGTTATGAGCTAGAATATTAAATGCTTAGACCACAGCAGTAATGATTAATAATCCCCCAGGATTCCCTGGCCCCAAGCCAAGTTAGTTACCCTGCTCCAATAAGGCCAATATTCACCAACTGGAAAAAAATATTTCCTTGAGTTTACCCATAATATCTTCTTTCTAAAATACTCAAAAAGTATTTTATATGTAATTTCACTAACTGTCATAATCTTGTGATGTCAGATGGCTTTCCCCATATGAGTCAGGAGTAGAATCAGGGCTTGATCTCACATTTCTGGATTGCTAATAGAGTTCTCTATATGTTCAAATATTCCGATTCACAAGAACTTCAGCTATACCTTTGTGAGAAAAGTATCAGCTAAGTGAGCACAACAATTACCATAAAAAACCTATTCCTGATGTAGATTTCCTCTTTATTTCTCACAGTACTTTCTTGCAGCAAATTTTCTAATATTATGCTGATTAGGTAAAATAATCCAGTTTACTATAGGAGGTATTCTGCTTGTCTTAAAGGAGGGCTGAGACTCACTAAAAGCTCAGAGGACTGTGCTTCCTCTGACAGTGGTGAGGCCAAAGATGATGCTACCTCATAAGTAACTGAAATTCATTATAACTATGCCCAGACCCTCTGAATCCTGATATAGTGCTCTAAGGTTCTGTTCCTAAGACCCATACGTGCAGGAAAAGAGCAAGAAGCTGGGGGATCAGGAGGTGATGTAGGCTCCTTTGGAAGATACTCTGCTTTACCTTTGAGCTTGTCCCCCAAGGCTGGCTCCAAGACTGACTTGGGGATCTTCTTGGTGACTTTTTGCTTTGAAGTCTTTGCCTGAGGCATTGCTGCTGAGGCTTTCTGTCGAATGGCTTCCTTTTTTTGCTCTTCCTTCTCCAGGAAGCTGAAGGGTTTAAGGGAAGACAGGAGCAGTTCTTTCCTCTTCTGGATTCCTGCTCGTCTACGGGCCTCATTCCGTTCCATGATCTCCTGATAGAGGGGCAGATGGACGTGAGCGGGCACTGGCTGGGCCTGGAACTTCTTCTGGCACTCGGCGTCCTCCTGCTCCTGCTTCTCTGCTCGCTGTCTTCTTAGTTCAAATGAGGCGCAGGATGGCAGACACCGGGACTTCTTACGTGCCTCCCGCACCGTCATGTGAAAGGGTTCGGGGGTGGTGACAAAGGGGACCCAGGCCAGGGTACGCCTGTGTGGTGGGCAAGGGCCAGAAGCTGAGGAACTTGTTTGACCATAAAAGTTTTCTTGTGTGAGGTCACTCAAGGAGCTGGACCGTTTCAGGTTGTCAGATCTGAGGGGAAGAAGTCAAGGGTTACCTAGTCTGTCTTTAGAATTTGGGAGAGGGAAGCGAGTCTCCTTCTACCCTGGAGTCAGCAGCCTAAGCCCCAGAGTGGAAGGCTTCCCTACATTCTCTTTTCAACAGACTTATAGTGTTAGGTTCCACACTCTCCTCTTCCCCTTAATTGCTGATCCTTTCTCTTGGGTTATAAAGGCCATCTCCACGTGGACAATATCTGCTCACAACAAAATTAACGGCTACCCTTTTTCACCCACACTGCTTTCTTCTTTTGTTTTTTTTGGGGGAAGGAGTAGTCTGCTTAGATGTGTTATGTTTGGGGAGAGGTACTCTTTTCTTATATCTAGTCATTTAATTTATTAGAACATATTCATAACCCAACCAGAACATGAGAGGAATTGAGTTATTTAAGAATTTTAAAAGTACTTTGACATGATATGCTTTATATCTCTAAGTTTCTTAAGGGATACATTTGTTCTTTTCTGGGAAATTGAGGCTAGGTTGGTAACTCTGGCTAAGTTGTTATAATGCTTATTGTGACTGATTACAAACCACCAACAAGTATTTAATAAAGCCCTGACTACGTGCCAGCCAGGTGCTGGAGATACAAATACAGAGAATGAAACAATCCCTCCTCACAAGCTTACATTCCAGTAGGGAAGACAACAGGTATATAGAAAATATATATAGAATAAAAATGAAGATAATCAATACATATATGTGTATACACACACATACATACACACTTCACTACTTTGTATGCGTATATAAATACACACACACACACACACACACACACACTAGTTAAATACAAGGTAGGTTGGGAGGGCACTGGCAGTGGATGGTGTTAGGAAAGGCTTCACACAGAAGATGATGCCTGAACGCATCCTAAAAGAAGACCGTGAGGAAGAGGGAAGGAGGAGTGCATTACAGGCATTAGGGACAGCCAGTGCAAAGGCCTGGAGATGGGAGATGAAAGGCCAGTTGGGCTGGATCAGAAAGCACAGGAGAAAGAGTAATGTCCAAGAGACAGAAAAGGGAGGTTAGGGCCAGACTGCGCAGGACTTCAAGAGCTAACCGTTTCCCCCTCCTTGGACTGGACTCTGTTATGTTTCTAGGAAACATCATTTTCAGGGAACTAGTCATCAGCTTTGGGACACACACTTCAAACAGCACCCAGGGTATCCTCTGGCCTTCTGACTGGAGGGCTGGAGAGCAAAGAATGCCCCTCAATGTCTCCTTTTATAGTGGGCTCCTCAGCCAGCCTTCTCTTCATTTCCTCCCTGTACTCCTTTGGACTAGAGTCCATCATGCCCCTCTCCCTGCCCCCTCCAGTTTTTCAGCTTCCTTCTATGTGTTGTCTTCCCCCATTAGATTGTCAGCTCCTTGAAGGCAGGAACTGTCCCTTTTCACTTTTGTATTTCCAGTGACTAGGCACATATGAGGCACTTAATAAATGTTCACTGACCGAGTTTGTGTTTGGAGGCAATGGGAAGCCGCCAGAGTAGGTCAGTCACATGGCCAGATCTTCACCTAAGGAAAATTACGCTGGCAGCAGCATATATGATGGACTGCAGAGAGAACAGACTTGAGTCAGGGAGACCAGTGAGGAGGCATTTGCAATAATCTAGGCAAGAAGTGAGGATGGCCTGAATTGAGGAGGTAGCTGTGTGACTGCAGAAAAGGAGGTGGACGTGAAGATGTTGCAAAGCTAGAAACAGCAAAGTCTGACCACACTGTGAATATGAATGAGGAATCTAGGATAATGCTGAGATTATGCACCTGAGCCATTGGAAAGATGGTGGTACAGAAACAGGGAAGTTTGGGAAAGGTAACAAGTTCAGTTTTAGATATGCTGAGTTTAAGATGTTTCTGGAGCATCAGGTTTGAATCATTGAACAGATGATTCATGATACAGGACTGAAGCTCATGGGAGAGACAGTTGATGTGGGAGTCATCTGCATTAAGATGACAGTTAAATTCATGGGAGTTGATGAGTTACCAAGAGTGAGATTGTATTACAGAGAAGGGTGCTCAGGAAAGAACTGTGGGAAATACTCACAGTGAAGGGGTATAATGTGGATGATGAGTGAGCAAAAGAGAATAAGAAAGAATGGTCATACAGGTAGGAAACAAGTGTCATGAAAACCCAGAAAGGAAAAGAGTATCCAGGAAGACAGGGTGGTCAATAGTGTCACATGCAGCAGACAGGCAGAGAAGGATCAGGGAGGACCAAGGAAAAAAATCATCAGAATTGGCAAGTAAGAAATCACTGGCAACTTTGGAGAGAACATTTTCAGCTGAGTGATCAGGCTGGAAAGCGAGACTACAAAGGGGGAAGGAGTGAGAGCAGCAGAGACAATGAGTGTAGAGAACTTTTTCAAGTCTGACTGAGAAAGGAAGGAGAGATAGAGGACTGAGGGGAGAGGAGAGTCAATCTAATGAAGGTTTTCTAAGGATGGAGGCAGCTTGGGTGGGTCTGAAAGCTGTATGGAGGGAACCAGTTGATAGGGAGAAGCTGAAGATTAGAGAGAGATGAGGTAATTGAGGATCTAATCTGCGGAGATGACAGGAGAGGCTAGAATCAGGTGCACTTGAAGAGGAGCTGGTCTTGGCAAAGACAAAAGGCCAGCTCTTCATCAGAACCTGGAGGAAAAGAGGGGAGAGTGGGAAATGATGTTAAGGGGTTCTGAGATGAAGAGAATGGGAGAAAAGGAAGCCATGTCAAATGGCCTCCGTTTTTTCAGAAGGCTGAGAAGGTGGGAGGAAGGGAAGGAAAGAAACGTTTATAGAGCACCTCCTATGTGCCAGGCAATGTGTTAAGCACTTTACAAATTTTGTCTCACTGGATCCTTACAACAGCCCTGCAAGGTCAGTGCTGCTGTTGTGCCCACTTTACAGATGAGGAAACTAAAGGCAAACGAAGGGTACATGACTTGCTATTTCAGTTGTGCAGTCATTTTTTCAGTCATGCCCGACCCTTTGTGACCCCATTTGGGGTTTTCTTGGCAAAGATACTGGTGTGGTTTGTCATTTCCCTCAGCTCATTTTACAGATGAGGAAACTGAGGTAAAAAGGGTTAAATGAGTTGCTCACAGTCAAACAGCTGACAAGTGTCTAAGGCTAAATTTGAACTCAGATCTTCCTGACTCTAGGCCCAGGCTCTATCCATTGCACTATTTTGCTACCTATAAGGAGCGATGGGAGGGGTTTTATTTCTAGTTAGCAAATTTCATAGTGGAAAGGGAGCCCATTTCTATCTACCCAAAAGCATAGGTCTGCACCAAGGGGGGCACAGGCAGTACACAGGCAGTACAAGCTGAAGAACTGGCAGATGAGTCAGTGCAAGTAACAGGCTCTCGGAAGAGGACCCTGCATGGTGAGCCTTGATGAGGTCCACTCTCCCCCTCTAAAGAGAGGCTCTCACTTAACTCACATAACAGAGTGATGACATTTAGACTGTAGTCTCTGCCTGTTACTGCCTCGGAAAAAACACTCCAGTTCTGGGTCTTCTACAGAGGATTTGTCATCCAGCTTTGCCTGATATGCTGAGTTTCTTCTCAATGAACAGCGTCTGGTTTTTTTCTTCTGTGCCTGAAAAATCTCATAAAAATATTCATCTGAGTCAAAAGTAGTCAAGTCTGTCTCAGTCTCTTTGTGGAGGAAATCCTCCAGTTTTCCGGCCCTGTGCAAGACAATTCCATTCTCATGTGGTTCTTCCTCTGTCTCTATGTCCGAGGATGCTTCGGGGTGGAACACCTAAGGGGAAACAAAGATGGCGGTTTAGCAAAACCATAACCTTGATCCAGACCTAGAATGCTCTCCAAAGAACCTCTCCAAAGCCACTCTAGTGTCCACATTTCCAGCCCACCCCGTTCTTTGTGTGCCTATAAATCTCTAAGTCTTGGTTAACGTTGCTACTTAGCCTTAATCTCGGTCTTGTACCTACGTAATGCCATAGGCATCGTGAAATCTTAGATTAGCAGTTTGGGACTGAGAATAAACTTTGCATAAACCTTTAACATGCCATTCCCTTCACCTACTTTACTTATTCCCCCTTAAGGAATGAGCTAGTCTACTCATAACTCCCAAAGGGTATCCCTGGCCTCTCATACTAGCTCACATTTATATAGCACTCTCAGATTTACAAAAGGCTTCACGTGCTTTATTTGATTTTATCTTCTCAACTACCCCAGGAGATAAGTACTACAAGTATTATTAGCTCCATTTTACAGATGAGGAAACTGAGGCCCATGGGCCACACAGCTAATAAATGACAGAAGTAAAATTCTAACTTGGTCTCTCATGACTCTAATGCTCTTTTCAGAATTGGAATGGGGACCTTAGAAATAATTTGATAACAATAATAATCAACATTTATACAACACTTTTAGGTTTGCAAAATGATCACCTCACGACAACCCTGTGAGACAGGTAGTACAAATATTATTCCCATTTTAAAAATAGAGAAACTGAGGCTTTGAAGAGAGGTTAAAAGACTTGGTCACTGTTTCACAGCTAGTGCCTTAGGCAGGATTTGAATCCAGGTCTCCTGACTTCTAGCCCAGTAGTCTTTCAAATACAATTAGGTTACTTATTTTACCCAAAGAATCATAGACACTTGGAGTTGGAGGGAACCTCAGAAATGATCTTGTGCTACCTCTATCTGAAAAGGAATGCCCCTTGCAACACTTTTCTCTGCTTGAAGACTTCCCACGGTCTCCCAAGGTAACCCACTGCACTTTTAGAGAGTTTTATTTGTTAAAGTTTTTCTTTATGCTGAGCCTAAATTTGCCTCTGAAATTTTTGCTCCTTTGTCCTCATTTGTCTGAGGTCTGCCCTCAGAAGCCAAGCTGAATAAGCCTAATCCTCCTTCACTGTGAGTGTCTAAATGATGAGGATTGAGAGGTTGGGACCACTCAAAAAAACCAAGGTACAAAACGAGTTGTCTGGAATGAATTCACAAACTCAAGCAATATTAAGCCAAGGTGGCAAAGTTTGTTGTTATGCTTTTCAGCGGGCAAGGATGCTTAAGGATTCCTGCAACCTTAGAGAGGTACAGGTAAAGTTTATATAGGATAAAATGCAATAAAACATGTGTCAAATATGCTAACTAGGTGATTCAGGGCGGAATTAGGGAGTGGTTAAGTGGTTTCAAGATAAGAAAAATCCCATTATTCAAGAGAGTATCTGGTCCCAGACGTCCTGGGCCCAGTGATAACAAACAGGAAGAATACTCATCAGCTCTATCTGGTCCTGGAATTTGCTGACACAGGAAGGGGTGTTTTTATTTCACTCAGAGAGAAAAAGATTAATTTAGGTTTTTGGCCCTTATTGGGGCTCAACTGATCTTAAATGATTATCAAGGGACAGTGTTTCTGAGGCTAGGGAGAAACTGGGGTCCGAGTACAAGCACCCAAACATAAGCACCTAAGCATAAGCACCCAAGCACCCCAACAATACAAGTCCCTCATTTGTCAGAGACCCCAAAGGGGTATGAAGTGACTCATCTAGGGTCACAAGGCTTATAATTAGTATCAGGGTTAGGTCTTCTGGCATCTGGTTCATTGTTCTTTTCCCATCATACCAGGTTTCCTTCTTATTAGGGCCATGTCCTTGGCACTGACCTTCGGTTTTACATGACTGCTGTTCTTACGCCAGCTATTTAATAAAACCTATTAAATCACTAGCATTGATAGATGCTTTAAGGTTTGCAAAGTGGTTTATGAATGCTATTTCATTTTATTCTCACAACAACTCTGGGAGGTAGGTGCTATTCATTAACCCTAACTCCATGTTAAAGATGAGGAAACTAAGGCAGATTAAGTGATTTACCCAGGGTAATCCAGTGATTATGAGTCTGAGGTTTGATTTGAACTCAAGTCCTCTGACTCCAAGTGAATTCCTCTATTCATTGTGCCCTCCTAACTACCTCTATTCCTCTCAAACATTTCAAATTTGCTCACATCCAGGAAATGTGAATAGAAAGATTATTAACAACATGATCAGATTTTTGATCGCTAAATTTATATTTGGAAGGGATTTTCGAGATCACCATCGGCAAACGTGCATTTTTGGGAGAACCTAACTGACTCCATTTTGTGCTATAGTTGCTGTTATGATATTTCTTTCTTTTTCTATGTGATACTGAATGTACTGAATGTCTTCTTCAATGCCTACCTTCCCCCAATCATTCTTAGTTACAAAATAAAATTCACAGGTCTTTGAACAGTTCCTAAGAACCTATCCACTTCTCTTTATCTTAGTGAATAAAGCACATAATAGGAGCTCAACAAATGGTAATTAACTGATTGATAAAGAAGATACAGTTTTCTTTGGTCTAATGTAAAGAAAGAGCTTTGATGCTCAAGACCTTTGTAACAGTTTCAGCATCCTTTTTCTTTTGCTAAAAGCATACCTTCCCCTAAGTAACCTGATCTTCCCTCAAACGGCTTTATAAACCTGCCTTGTGACCTACCTGATTTTACCTAACTCTTCATGGTGTAGCTCAGAGAAGAGACAATACATATACACACATGTCATTTGTGGAACTGATACACATGAGATACACGTGTCCATTACTTACTGATGGATTGTGTCACACTTGTGAGTAAATAAACTGTCTCTAACTTGTGCTGGCTGATTTATGCAGTGGCTACAAAGGACTCTAAAAATTTCTGCAACACCATGGAGTATGATAATTTATTGCTGTGGAAAACAGGTGCAATTCAGCGAGCAGACTGAGATATATTTTGGACATGCCCAAATATTTTGCTTGGCCACTGCATATTTTTATGAGAATTTTCTTTTTCTTTGTTTAAATGGAGTTAGGAAGACAAAATAGATTGTTGTTGATTCAAAAATTTAATTTAAAAACCAGTACAGAGGATGATTTGCTCAAGGTCACAGAGAAAGGAAATAACAAAGCTGGCATTTGGCTCCAGATCATTATTCTAAAAGCAGCGTTTTTTTCCTCTACCACTTCAGGCTGCCTTCTTGTAAAAGATGGGAAGCACGAGTTACAGTGGAAAATGCATCGGAGTACTTCATATTCCTTCCCCCAGGTAGAATGTAATCTTTTTGAGGGCTGACTGTTTTTCCTTTTTTTTTTTGTATCCTCAGAACTTAGCACAATCCCTCTCATGTAGTATTTAATATTAAAATACTTGTTGGATGGGACCCTAAGTTAGGAAACCTGGATTGAAGCCCCAACTCTGCCACTGATAAAACAGAGAACTTCCCCTACCCAGCAATTTCCCTCCACAGGCCTCATTTTTCTTCTTGGTAAAATAAAGGAAGGTGCTTTTGCTTGATTATGCATACTTATTAAGAGGTTTTTCTTTTTAATAGTTGCTTTCAGGGTTTATTTTTTAATTCCCCCCCCCGAGGCAATCGGGGTTAAGTGACTCGTTCAGGGTCACACAGCTAGTGTCAAGTGTCTGAGGCCGCATTTGAACTCAGGTCCTCCTGACTCCAGGGCCGGTGCTCTATCCACTGCGCCATCTAGCCGCCCCCAAGTTTAAAAAAATTTTTTTTAAACGAGTTTTTTTGGATCTTTTTTTACATCATCATAATTTCCCCCAGCATCCCTCCCTTTCACAGAAGGCCATCCTATATCATTCCGTGGGGAGGGAGAAGGAGGAGGTAGCAAATAGACTGTTTAATTTGGGGGAAAAAAGGTAATAAAAAATGAGGTGGAGTCACCCACAGGCAGTTCTGACAATCTATGAAATGGATCAAACTGGATTCAGTTACACCCCGCCCCCCCCGCCCCATCAGGCCACGCCCCTTCCCTCAGGCCCCCCCCACCGGTCTCCATGGTAACGACGAAGCTGGTCTCCTTCCCCACAAGGCTCCAGTTCTAGGACCCAATGCTAGTTCCTTCCTCCCTCGGCTCTTCTTCCTCACCTGGCTGCCCCGTCCTCCGCATTCGCGGGCTGCAGCAGACCTCTCCACGGTCATCTTCTCAACGAGACTGCAGCGACGACAGGGACAGGTGCGCTGCTGGCCGTGCCAGTTACGCCACGGCCTGGCCCCGCCCTCCCCACTTGGTACTGAAAACCCATTGGGCAAGTCTCTCAGAGCCAATTCCCTTCTCCGTCGCACTTGTTATCATCCCATGAGCAACACCAGAGCTGCCTTCTGATTGGTTGAGCCGAAGAGGCCGCTGTCTCTCTTCGTTCTTTTGCAGATTTTGACCGGCTAAGTTCCGGAAAAGAGCTTAGCGATTGGTGGGTGGTGCCCCGGAAGCATTCTGGGACGGTGGAAGGGGCGTGACCAGTTGCTGCGCTCTCGGCTATGGCGGCCTGCGCCCGGTTGACCCGGGCTCTGCTTGTCCCTGGAGCAACCTTGGGAGGCCCGCGGCTGCCGGGGCTGAGATGGTTGAGCGGGTCGGTGGGGCCGGGCCAGGCCGTCTACGATGTGGTGGTGGCCGGCGGGGGCATGGTCGGGACCGCCATGGCCTGTGCCTTAGGTAAGAGACGCCGGGGGGGGGGCAGGCGCAGCCCCGGGCAGGGATCCCGGAACGCCTTCGGTTTGAGTGCTGTGCGAGGAATTGTTTTGGAAGCATTTTATCTTATTTGTGTCTCGCAGCTCACCCAGCGAGGTAGATGGTGCAATCGTTTTTATTCCCATTTTGCAGATTAGAAAACGGACTCAGCGAACTGCCCAGATTCACGCGTATCAGAGGCAGTATTAGAATCCAGGTCTTTTACTTCCTTTTCCCCATTTTGCAAATGAGGAAATTGTGGTTCAGAGAGGTGAAATGTGATTTGCCCAAGAGACAGTGTCACTTGAGAAGAAACCCAGACCCGGCTTTCCAGACTCCCAATCACTGTTCCTCCCACTGCATCACCTGCCCCTACAGTGTGCGTAGCAGAGTAACATTCATGTATGTCCTGGGAATGCTTTCTTTTTTAAAGTCATATAGTCGTACTTATTTGGAGCTGGAACAGACCTTAGAGCTTATCGTTTGGTTAACCTCATTTTATGTATGAGGAACCAAAGGCCCAAGAACTTGTTCGTGGTCAAACATGCAGTTAATTGGGCAGAGTTAGGGTTTGAACACAGGACCTCTGATTTAAAATCCAGTATTTAAAAAAACTTTTGGGGCAGCTAGGTGGCACAGCACCGGCCCTGGAGTCAGGAGGACCTGAGTTCAAATTAGACACATAACAACTAGCTGTATGACTCTGGGCTAGTCACTTAACCCCAATTGCCTCAACAGAAACAAACAAAAAAAACCCCTTTCCACTCTGCCATTGTATCTGTTTCCAATCAGCCAATCAATATCAAATGACCAAAAAATAAAGTGCTAAGTGCTGGGGATACAAAAAGAGGCAAAAGAAGCTCTGCACCCAAGGAGCTTATGATCTGATGAGGTAGATGGCATGCAAACATACATACGAAGCAAGCTGTACACGGGATAGATTCAAAGTAATTCATAGAAGGAAGGCATTAGAATGAACAGGGGTTGGGATAGGCTTCCTGTAAAAGGGGAGCTTTTGGTTGAGACATAAAAGGAAGTCAGGGAAGTCAGTAGAGAGAGGGAGGAGAACATTTCCAGGCAGGGGGGGCAGCCAGAGAAAATTCCCCCATTTTCTTGGAATAGCTGGGAGGCTAGTTTTACTGAATCGAAGAGTACGTGTTGGGGAATGAGGTATGAGAACACTGGAAAGATAGGAGGGGACTGGGTTTTGAAAGACTTTGAACGTCAAACTACATTTTGTATTTGATCTTGGAGGCAGTAGGGAGTCAGTAAGTTTATTGAGTAGTGACAGACCTACACTTTAGGAAAATCAGTTTAGAGAATGGGGAGTGGGTTGGAGTGGGGGAAGAAATGGCAGGCAGATCCATCAGCAGGCTATTGTAGTAATCCAGGTGTGAGATGATCAAGGCCTGTACCAGAGTGGTGGCGGTGTTAGAGGAGAGTAGAGAGTGTATTTGAGAGTATTTTTAAAAGTAAAATGGACAGGCCTTGGCCACAGATTGGAGCCTGGTGGGACTGGGAGGATGGTGTTGCCCTCTATAGTAATAGAGAAGGTAGGAGGTGGGGAAGATTTAGGGGGAAAGGTAATGAGTTCTGTATTGGACATAATGAATATAAGATGTCAACAGGACATCCAGTGTGAGATGTCTGAAAGGCAGTTGGAGATGGGAGATTGGAGGTCAGCAGAGAAAGTGGGCCGGAAAGGTAGATTTGAAAATCATTAGTATAGATGTGGTAATTAAATCCATAGGAGCAGATGAGATCATCGTATGAAATAGTATAGCAGGAGAGCAAAAGAAGGCCCAGGACAGGATCCTGAGGGACACCTTTGCCATAGATAGTCTCTTAAGTTTCCCATCAGCTCTTTTATCCAAGGAGCCTATAAATTACAATCAACTGGAATTAAAAAGCTTCTGCTGTAAGAGTGTTAGAGAATGTAAACTCCAACCAGTTTGAGATGTTTCATTCTTGATACTCTTTAGCACCTACTACAGTATCAGGCACATAGTGCGTACTTAATAAATATATATTGATTTGTTTGAGGGTGAGCTGGTAAATGTTTCAGTAACATTACTGTTATACATTTTTACCATCACAAATAAAAATGCTTTGCTTAGCTTAGTCCCTTAGCTCTCACTCAGTTAACAGCAGGTTTCCAGGAAATAATTTGAAATCCCCTGTGGCTTCCAACAGTAGGAAAATTGGAGAATGTTGCCAATGGAGAGTTTGCAAAAGATGTCACATCTTACTGAAACAATGCAAATAGCTCTGCTGAACTTGTGGCTTATAGGATCATGTTTAGATCTGGAAGGAACCTTGGAGGTTGTCTAGTCTAAGCCTCTCATTTTACAGATGAGGGAACTTCTGAATTCCAGAGAGGGGAAGGAGGTTGCTCACACTTACCACGCTGGTGGTAGGTAGCAGAACAGTAATTTGAAGAAAGGATTTTTAGCTCCCAATCCAATACTTCTATTCTGCCACATGTTTGGTGATAGTGGCTGGGTCAGTGCTCAAACTTTTTCACCATGTGAAAGATGATGGATGGAATAGGTGGTGGTCTCCTTGCACTCCTCCTAAAAAAAAATCACTTTAAAAGAAAAAAAAATGTGCCTTGTAGACTTCATTACTATCTAAAAGGTATTGGAAGTTCCATAGCTCTGATTTCCTCTGGGGGATAACATATATTATAGACTTGAACTTTAACTTCTCCATCTTTCCAACCATTTTTTTTAGCTATACAAAATGTCCCTTCATGAACATCTTGACGCTTTCTTTCATTTTCCTCCAATCCTTCCCACTTTGATCTTGCTCAAATGAATATTTCCTATCCCTTAAGAGTGTCATAATTCTTCTAGAGAAGATCATTTCATCTTCCAACTTAATGGCAGTTTTTAGCTTTGACACTTTGTGATTCTTTATGGTCAAAGGACCTTGTTCGAAAGATCTAAGTTCAAATTTCACCTTGCTTTCTTATGTCATGTGTGACTTTGGGAAACAGGAAAGAAGACTCTTTTCTGGGCCTGTTTCCTGTTTCTAAAATGGAAGGTTTAGACTAGTTAATCTCCAAGGTAGCCTCGGGCTTTAAGTCCTGTGAACCTGTAAAATGAGATGGAGCTTGAGAATACCTGGGTTTGAATAATGACCTTGCCACTTAGCTACCTGTGCAAGTCACTGACCCTCAGTGGGCCTAATTTTCCTCATCTGTAAAATGAGGTTAGACAAAATGACTTCCATGGGTCTCCTCCAGCTCCAGCTCAGTGATCATTGTTACTCTTTTTCCTTATCTCTGCATTTCTGTGATACTAATCCTCTTGGTATATATATATTTTACATTCCACTAATTAATTTCACATTCCTCTGCAATAATAACATACAGTAAATTTAACATTTTTATTATGCATCTAGTCAGTCAATCAACAATTATTAAATGCTTTCTATGTACAAAGTGTCCCCCAGTCTTGGGTATGTGAAGAAACACATTTTCTGCCTTCATGGAGCTTAGATTCTAATGAAGGAGGCAACTTGTACATAAAAGGTATTTCCAAGTTACATGAAGAGTAGATAGATGGAAGGTAACTTTAGAGAGGAAGGGATTAGTAAATGGGAGCACTGGAGAGGAGTCCTGTAGGCAGTGACATCTGAGCTGAGTCTTGTGGGAAGCCAGGGATTCTAAGAAGTGGAGGTGAGGAGGAAGAGCTTGTCAGTCGTGGGGCTGGGAGTGGGGGACAGACAGCGCAAAGAGCATGGAGGGAGACGGAGCATGGGAACATTGTGAATGAGGAACAACCGAAGAGTTTTCAGTCTGACTGGAGGAGTAACGTGTGAGAAAACTGAACAATGAGTTGTGAAGAGCTTTGAATGCCCTACTAATTCTAATGGGGAGCCACTGTAGTTAACGGAGTGGATGTGTGCCTGTGTTTGAATGGTCTGATGAGACTGTGCAAATCCCTTGGGCTGCTGTAAGGACTATGGACTGAAATGGGGAGAGACTTGGGAGTGGAGATACTAGTGCTGGCTATTGTGAGGCCACTGGGAAGGAGGAGTTGAGGACGATCCTGAGGTCTAGTATATGGTGGGCCTGGAGTCTGGAAGACGAGAGTTCAAATTCAGACTCTAGCTGTGTGACCCTGGGCAAGTCAGTTAACCTCTGTTTGTCTCAGTTTCCTCTAATGTAAAATGAGATAATAATAGCACCTGTCTCCCAAGGTTGTCATGAGCATCAAATGAGATAATGATTATAAAGGGCTCAGTGCACTACTTGGCCTATGGTAAAGGTCATGTAGGTGTAATCGTTAGCTGTTACATTTCTGTGTCGCAGGGTTTCCCAACTAATTTAGACACAGAGCACTTGGGCTGGAAACATATTGGCAGAACTCATAAATTCTGGCTTGCAGGCTCTAGACATATGAAGTTAGCCCAGAGACAAAGGAGTGTTGGGGAAACTTTGGAGCAAAGTACTGAAAATGCTGCTGCTTTTCACCGAGGAAGTTACCATACATAATAAGTATTTTGTTACATTCATCATATTTGTACCTAGTGTACATTTTGGTACACTATTTTAGTGTGTACTATATGCAAGGTGTTTAATATACAAAAATGAAAACTAATTTCGTACTTAATATTTTAAAGAAATATAGTGTTGAAATTTTCTAATGGAACTCCTATTCAAAATGTTTCGAGCACAGTTTGGGAAATGTTTGTGACAGTGATTGCTTTTACTCTGAAACATGTCTTCTCTTCCACTGTCCTTCTGAAATAACAGGGCAGTAGTTATGCACTGAGGGGCTGTAGCAGAAAGGAACCTGGATGTAGGCCATCTTAAGCCTTATTTACTGGAGAAGGACCTGTTTGCACTTAGGGAAATCAAAGCTATGGAAACATTAAAAGAAATCCCTCTCAGCACCCTGGTGTGCTTATTTGCCTATGGAATGGAAAGATCTCCATTAGTGCTTGTGTCGAGGTTTTTGGGTCAGACTTGGGATTTTATCAGTGTTGACAGCTCCTAGTTTGAACACCCCTCCCCCATATATAACTTCTAGATTGTAATCTAAGAGTCAAAGGCAGAATTTGAATTGGGTCTTTCTGACTCCAAAGCTGTCTGCTACAGTGCCTTGTCAATATTAAAGTACTTTTAAAAATCCTGGTTTTATAAGTTTTTGGAAGAATTTCAGATTTTAAGTAAAATTTCAGCACAAATGTTTTGGTGTTTGAAGTAGGTATTCTTATATTTAACACTTTGGCATTTTAATTTTAGTAGTTGGGGTTTTCTTCATCAGATAAGAGGGAAAGTGTGGGAAAACAATTCCTTTTGTAAACTAGTTCTTAAAGTGTTTTTCCTTCTAGAAGATAAGTAAGGCTATTTACATAAAGATATTTACATGTAGATAATGCATTCATTTCTCCCATTATGACTTTATAAACTCTAGGATTAACAAGTTTGCGGTTTCCCTTGACATTTCACAAAACTTGATCCCCTACAGTCTGTTCTCTCTCCTTTTCTCAGATTACAGCTCTCATTTGCTCTATATCTGATCCTTGAATCAGACCCTGGTGGTCAAACACTGAATATTTCTTATTTAACTGATTCTTAAATATAAAAGGTGGTAATAATTCTCTAAGGACTTGTAGTATCTGATGTCTCAGTAGTTTTCCTTTTTTCTTCTTTCTTCCTCAATGCATTTCATTTGCCAGATTGAATTTCCTATTGTTTTCTTTGAAGAAAGGAAAAAAATGGAATTTGCTGACTTAGATGGTTCATTGCAATTGTGGGCTGGGTGGTTCAGATGGTTGAAATGTACATGCCTGTTACTGACTGGATAGTCCAGTGGTACTACTTTTGTACATCATAACATCATGAATGATTTCTACATAGAAATCAGTTATGACTTATGTCTAGTCCTGAAGGAAAGTAATTATTCTTAATCTTCCTGCATGAAATAAAATGCTGTCATTTTTCAGGACACAACGTTCACTTTCGTGACAAGAAAATCCTGTTGCTAGAAGCAGGTCCAAACAAAGTTTTGGGCAAGTTACCGGCAACTTACAGCAACAGAGTCAGCTCCATCACCCCTGGCTCAGCAACCCTCCTTAGCAGTGAGTACAAGATGCTTTTAGTGCTTTGGCATTGTGGTGAGCTCATTCTTGTAGGGCCCTGGCACTTAGTTGAGATCATCAGATAGATTTTATTGCTTCTATAACTTGTTCTGAATGGTTAGCACTAATAGATTATGAAGTAATTATGGTGTCAGTGTCATTAGCAAAATCCTAATTCATCTCCCTGTTTCACAGTTCCTTTGTGTGGACTGGGAAGTTACATATACTGTTTTGTGTGTGTGTGTGTGTGTGAGAGAGAGAGAGAGAGGGAGAGGGAAGATCAAGATGTAAGTATAGGTGTGTATACAGCTCTCTGCTTCAGTGTCTGTGCTCTCACCAGTGGGCATTCTCACCTTCACTGCACAGCATACTGGTCCAACGGCTCTCCTTTTCTTCCATAGAGGTTCTGTCCAATGTGCTAGAGGCCTTCTTCTAAATCCCTTTACATTTCGTGGGTACCAGTGCAACATTTGGGAATCCATTGGTTGTCTCTCCCTCTCACTGCACAACTGGCCCCGTTACTTTTCTGAGTGTACATTTCTGGAATAATGTACCTTATGCCATGTATTGCACACCATTAGAAATGTGCTATAGCCTATTGTATCCTTGTGTCTTTCTGATGACCTTTGGGTCATGTGTAACTTCGGTCCTTTGGAGTTTGTTGAACAGAGAATCTTCATTATTAACATCAAGCAGGGCATAAAAAGAAAGCCATTTTCTGGATAAAGGTGTTTGTCATTGTAGAAGGTGACTTCTGTGGGTTCTGAATGGAAGGGAGATTCCTTGGAGATGGCAGTTTACTCTAGACTGCCCTGTTTTGGGATGAAATTTTGGCACATTAGAAGCCTCCTCAGTAATACTGGTGAATACTCAAAAGGTGATGACCTAACAAAGTAGTGAGAAAAAAAACCAAATGGATAAAAAATGTCATTTGTTCAGACTCTGAAATGTAAAGCTAATACACACACATGAAATCATTTAACAGATTATATACCTCATGCCTCAAAGGAATCAGTCAATTAATAAGCATTTATTAAACCCCAGCTGTGCTGGCCAGGCACTGTGCTAAGGAACACAAACGAAATAGTCTTTTCCCAGAGGGTTTATAGTTTGAAGGAGATGGTGAAGAAAGGTGAACAAAATGAGTTTTTTCCCTTTTTCAGCATTGTTGTTTATTCCATAAACTGCATTTTTAAAAAAATATCTTTTATCCTGAAACTAGCAAGGAAGGTAGCTTAAAAAGATTGTTTTTGTGTTTTTCAGGGATTGGGAGTATGTGAGGGATACTGATTAAAAAATGTTCCATCTAGTTATCAGACCAAGAAAGGATGGAAGAAAAAGGGCAAAAAATGTCTGTGGGTAATAGGAAGGGAAAGGGGCAGACTAGAAGGAGGATGGGACCTGGTCATCGATTGAGTGTCTCAGTTCTTCACATCCTCTTCTTTTCTAGGTTTTGGTGCCTGGGATCACATCTGCAACATGAGATACAAACCTTTTCGGCGGATGCAGGTGCCTCAGTCACTGCCTCTGTGAGCTGGCTATATGTCTTTCCTGGTGTTAGTATATTGAGGACCAGATGGAATATGAACTAGTTTTGTTTCCTTCCTACATTATATAAATGTTAGCTTTGAATTGGGCAGCTAGGTGATGAGCTGATAGAGTGCTGGGCCTGGAGTCAGGATGACTCCTCTTCCTCAGTTACGATCTGGCCTCAGACACTTAATAGATGTGTGATGCTGTTTGCCTTAATTTCCTTATCTGTAAAATGAGTTGGAGAAGGAAATAGCAAAGCACTGCAGTATCTTTGCCAAGAAAATCCCACATGGGGTCATGAAGAGTCGGGTAAGGCTGTAAAATGACTCAACAACAACAGCGATTAATTAGAATTCTGTCAATAACAGTCGGTGCTTTAAGGCTGGCAGAGTGCTCTGCATGTGTTATTTCACTTGATCCTCACAACACACCTGTGATGCGGGTGCTGCAGATAGGATCCTTAATTTACGGATGAGGAGACTGAGGCGTAGAGGTCACATGACTTGTCAGTGCTTAGACCCCTAGAAAGTGCTAGAAGCAGAATCCCACGCCAAGTCTAGCACTCTTCAATGGTTTAGATGCTCTCACAAAGGGGAGCATTTCCAGAGGAATTCCCAGCCCAGTACATATTTCCTGACTAAGGAAGGACTTCTGAGACTTGGCATGTAGAGATAAGCATCTGTGGAGCTGAGGCAGGAGCTAGACTTAGCATTTTTTGCTTAGAGAGCATTATTTTTTCCATGTGTTTGCCTTTTGATAAACGTTTTCCATTTACCTTTCTAGGTTTGGGATGCCTGTTCAGAAGCTCTAATAATATTTGATAAAGATGATTTAGATGATATGGGATATATAGTGGAGAATGATGTCATTATGTCTGCTCTCGCCAAGCAATTAGATGCTGTCCGTGGTGAGGAATTAGCTTCTTTCGTATTTTCTTCTGTCTGTTGGAAGGTGAACTGTCTGTTACTGCCCCAGTGCCTGGTGGAAAAGGATTTCCTGTTAGCCGATGTTACTTTTTGGATATCTCCAATTGAGTGTCTCAAAGCTGTCTCAAACTTGGCTTATCTAAAATGGAACTTATTATCTTCCTTTCCAACCCTCTCATCTGCTCCCCATTCCCTATTCCTGTGGAGGGTATCACCATCCTTCCAGTCAGGCAGGCTCTCATAGCCTGGGTGTCCTCTTTAACTCCTTCCTCTTTGTGCTCACATCTTGTCTTCACAGCATCTCTTGTCTAAGTCCCCTTTGCTCCACTCTCACAGTCACCACCCTTGTACAAGCCCTCATCATCTTCTGCCTGCATTTTTTTTTTTGTATTTTGCTAGGCACTGGGTTTAAGTGACTTGCCCATGGTCACACAGCTAGTGAGTGTCAAGTGTCTGAGGCCAGATTTGAACTCGGGTCCCCCTGACTCCAGGGCTGGTACTCTATCCACTGTGCCACCTAGCTGCCCCCAATCACTTTTTCTAGATATTTACTCAACATTCCTTTAATAATACATCTGAGGATTTTGTCAGAAATCAAAGTTAGGCTTCCTGGCCTAGAATTTGTAGGCTGTTCTCTCTCCCCACTTTGGAAAATCTGTAAAATATTTACTGTTCTTTCGTTCTGCAGCCCTTCCGTTTTATGTGATCTTTCAGTTATCACTGACAATGGTTCAATGACCCCATATGCCAGTTCTTTCAGTACCCTTGGATATAGTCCAGTAGAGCCCATCTAGGGCAGCTAAGTGCTTTCTTACTCTCTCCCTTCGTATGTGGGGTATGAAAGCCTTACTGGCCATCTTTATCTTCTCCAAAAGGTTATTTTCATTTGCAGAATAAAAAAGAAGCAAAATAAGAGTTGAGTTGTGTGTTCTTCCTTCTGTACAGTTCTTCATTCTGTTTCCCACCAGCAGCTGTCCTTTCTCTACCCTAATCTTCCTCTTTTCTCTAGTTTGCTTTAAAACACAACCTTAGCTTTCCTCGCCATCCTAAACTTTCTCTGTGCATCAGCTCTCTTGCTGTTGATCTTATGGGATGGTGCCATATTTTTGTATTTGTCCTCCATTACTTCACCTTGCTTGCATCTGCTGCACGTATGTCTTTACATCTGTGTTGGTTGAAGATTTCCTGCTGTATCCAGATTGGTCTTTTTAATCAACTCTTCCTTTTTCTCATTGGAATTATTTCTCTTTGGATCTCTAGAGTTTCATTCTCAAGAGCTTCCATACCTCCTGAGCTGACTCCCCCTGTAGAATTTTAGTGCATGGGATCTGATATATCCTTTCTCTTAATCTTTTGAAATATCTCTGGAAATTTAGAGTGTGAATTAGATTTTGTCTGATTTTCTTATTTTCTGTAACAGTTCTAAGGTGGGGCAGTCATTTCCACCCAAGGTTCCCATCATTTTTACTTCACTAACCAGTTCCTTCTCTTTTAGAGTCAGGTCTAGAAAGGCAGTTTCTTTTATTGATTGACCTTTTCAAAGAAGAAATTATTCATAAGGCAAGCTAAGAAGTGATTAGCTTGGGTTGTGACCACTGTCTAACTAATTGAAATCTTCCGTGGCTACCATATAATGTCTTCATGCCAGGCTTGTGATTTCTTCTGAATTTGTCTTTTCTCTTTTTTCTGTCCATGTGGTTTATAGTATATTGATGATAATAGTCTTTATTTCTAGCTTCATTCAGCTATACTCAAATGGTTTCCTACACACTCCTGACATCTGTTTTTTAGGTTTAATTCCATGATTATATTTTCTTAATATATACAACCCCTCTCCCTATCTATCCCCCATGCTTTTTACCTGTGTTAACTCCTGTTGAATAAGGTATACTTTTCCAGAACCCTCAGTATTGTCATGGTCCCCATCAGTTCTTGGTGATACTTTTGAGGTCATATTTGCCTTCTTGTATTAATATCTCTGGTTTGTCTTATGTGTTACCCAGACTTTGGGTATTTGTGATCCCAGTAGTTGGGCCAAGGGCCCAGCCAAACTGTGGGTAGCCCACTAAGGAAATTCTCTGTATCTCACAGCCACTTAGATCCCAAGGACCCAGCCCCCATTGCCCAAACCCCACCAAAGGCTGGATATCTCCAGTCAGTTGAATGATGACCTCCCTCCTGTCCAGCTCATACCTGCTGTAGTAGACTCTGTCCCCCTGGACTATTGTCTCCTTCGAAGTAGTTGTTGGCTAGGAATACAGCTCCTCACACTGCTTGGATGACCAGAGAGTTACATATACGTTTATGTAGAAACTATGTTGTTTTCTAAATCAGTATGTAGTCAGCAAGAAACCTGAGGTATGGTTTTAGTGGCCTCCGTTTGTATTTGAGTTTGATCTCATGATTCCATTTGGAGTTTTCTTAACACCACTAATCGAGAGTATTTACGTATAAAAGGTGTGTGATCCCTCTGAAAAGTGACATAACAGTGCTTTTTGGATAGGAGTGTCAGAGGAAGGCCTTTGCCACACTTCTGCTCCTCAGTTCTCTCTGTTTTAGGCTCCTCAGCTATCCCCAAAGCTGTATGGTGCTGCTGGATACTTTTGGGCTGTGTTACCTTAATTTCCAACTTGTTGTGATACATCTAATAGACTTACTTTTTAAAAATATTAATAGGTTTTAAAAAAAAACCATGGTGAATCCAGATTCTCTTTGCATTATTTTTATGTCCATTGGTAGTTTGATTCAGTACCTTCACAACTCAAATATTCCTGACCTTGTTTTCTGTTACCTCTGAATTAGATCCTCCAGTAGTGATCTTTTTTATGACCAGTCTTTTTTTCATGACCGTCGCCTTTATGGGGTCAGTCATTAATCCATGTAATATTCTTCTTCAAAAACCTTATTAACACTAATCTTTCAAAAGGACAAGCCCCACATACCTTAGTCTTCCTGTTAGGATCCATCTTTAATTTGTAATCAAGTCACTTCCCCAAACTGGGTGAGATCACTGCTTAGAAGTTTCTTTTTTTCTGTGTTTTCCTCATTTTTGTGGCATTGGTTCGTTTTTCTTCAACCTGTTTTTTTCTCCATTCCTTTGTCTGGTACTTCCCAGCTGAAGGCAGCCTTGTGGCCATTTTTCGTGTTGGCTGTGTCCAGCAGCTTCTGCTCCCTGGTTTTGTTGGATGTGGTAGAGAAGGGCCTGGCCTCCCCTGGCACCGGGAGACTTGGTCTGGCTCACATTAGCCTCAGACTCCATCATATGGCACAGATGCTAGCCCCTGGCTTCAGTCCTTATAGGTGGCAGTGTAGGTTTTTAGCTCTTCCCTCTTTCCCTGGCCCCTGTGTTACTGAGTTGTCATCTTCTAGCTCTCATGCATGTGTCTTTTCTGGTCCATAGTTTTGATGCCTTCTGTAATGTTATTGATGTCTATGTCCCCTCATTCCATCTTTTCCTGCTCACAGCTAAGAGTTAAATATCATGATTCTGATATCTTAGATATTACTTTTATTTGAATTGTTTTCTTTCCTGCTTTCCTCCACAAATCTTCACAACCACTCAGATGGTTGTGAATGTCATTTTTCTCCTCAGATTACCTTGTATTTATTTGTCTGTGTATACTATCTGTTTCCCTTGCCAAATGTAAGCCCCTTGAGGGCAGGGGCTCTTTCATTTTAATCTTTGTATACCCAGCAGAACTGCTTAACGTGTTTGTTGAGATGATTGCCCTTGTGTGCGGCTCTCTTGGTGTTTTTTATTTCTCTTTTTCTTTTTTCTCTCTCAGATCAGGTGGAGGTTGTCTACAAAAGCAAAGTAATTAGTTATACGTGGCCTGGTCCATTCTTAGATGCAGAAACCAGTCCGTGGGTTCAAATTACTTTGGCTAACGGCCGCCAGCTCCAGACCAAATTGTTGGTAATTAAAGTTTTGTTTTTCTCTAGGATTTGTATTTGTCCATACCTTATCCTGTGGTTTTGGCTCTAAGCTGCTTACCATGAATTAAATTGGGTTGCCAAGGATTAGAACTGAAGAGGAAATGTGAGAAGGCTGGGAAGTTTGTGCTTCCCCAGCTCCACAGTGAAGCAGATGGCATGCAGGACCTGGAAAGGTAGGAAGGGGCCAGGTTGTGAAGGCTTTAAAAGCAAACAAAGGACTTTATATTTGGTCCTGGAGGTGATAGGGAGTTTCTGGAGTTGATTGAATAGGAAGGTGACATGGTTGGACCTGATCTTTAGAAGATCACTTTGATAGCCCATTGGAAAATGGATTGGAGTGGGGAGATTTTTGAGGCAGGGAGACCAACCAGCAGGCTATTGCAGTAGTCCCTGTGATGAGGTGATGAGATCCTGCACCAGCATGGTGACAGCATCAAAGAAGAGAAGGGGGCATATAGGAGGGATGTTAGGAGGTAAAAGTGATAGAAATTGGCAGGTGATTGGATATGGGGGATGAGAGTGAGAAGTACAGTGTGACAGCTAGATTGAAAGCCTGGGACATGGGAGGATGCTGGTACCCTTGAAGGAAATAGAGAAGTTAGGAAGAGCAGAGGGTTTGGAGGGAAAAGAGAATAAATTCAGTTTGATTTTAAGATGTGCATGAGACATGAAGTTTGAATTGTGCATTAGGCATTTTGAGATGCAAGATTAGAGGTCAGGAGAGAGGTTAGGGCTGCTCAAAGAAATCTGAAAATCATGTGTCTAGAGATGATAGTTGAATCATTTGGAGCTGATGAGATCAAGAAGAATAATGTAGAGGGAGAAAAGAGGAGGACCAGGGTTAACAGTGGTGACTTCTTCCTGCACTGCTTTTACCTGAGGGTATTTGACTGTATTTGTATTGATGGACCCTTTGTTGGAACTCTTGGATTCTGGGTGATCCAGACACCCTTGAGAAGGACTTAGTTGGCTCTTGGTTCCCATGCAGATTGGTGCAGATGGTCACAACTCAGGGGTGCGGCGTGCTTCGGGAATCCAGAATGTGTGTTGGCCCTACGATCAGTCAGCTGTCGTGGCTACTTTGCACTTAAGTGAGGTAAAGTTTCTGAGCAGCTATCTGGGAATGGCTGGAACTTGAGCAATATTACAGTTCCTTCTTATGAGGTCTTTTTACTTCCTGTTTACAGCCCACTGACAACAATGTGGCATGGCAAAGATTTCTTCCTTCTGGGCCCATTGCCTTACTGCCGGTAAGAGTCCCCATTTCTTCAGTATCTTTCAAAATTTTGCCCCCCTCTAACTTTGTTGTAACTCCTATTTCCCTTACACTTGTCCTTAACATTTTTTGAAACTTCAGGAAATGAGCAAGAGATAACACTTTTTTCCCCTTTTCCTGTCTGTATTTTCCTTTGACTTCCCAACTTATGCTTGGGAACCCCCAGGGATTGATTGATCGATCTGTTCCTAAGCTTTTATGTTAAGTCTTGTATTTGAATCAGCTCTCAGACACTTTGAGCTCCTTGGTGTGGTCCACATCCCATGAGCATGCAGCAGAACTGGTCAGCATGGAGGAGGAAAATTTTCTGGATGCCATTAATTCTGCCTTTGTGAGTATTGGTTTTTTGATTTTTGACTTTTGATTTGGTTATAGTGAAACCTGGTAATGAGATAGATTTTAGTCATGAGAAAAGGAGGACCCATAGTTCCACATTTCTCTTCTGTGAGTGCTGGTGTCATATATAGGGAGCAGAGCGTTTGTGGAACCCAAGAAACTTTGCGTTCTAGTCATGACTTTGCAGTCTCCTGGGGCTGTGGCTTTGGATCAATCATTTCATTTCTCCTCAGGGCTTCAGTCTTTTAATCTGTGCAGTAGGTTGTTAATTGGACCAGATGATCTCTGAGGACCCTTTCAGCTTGCATGTTTTCTGTCTCTGTACTTGATGGAGAGGCAGAAATGGAAACTCAAAGCAACTTCCCTCCTTGCTCATTTGCATCAGTTTAGTGGTCCTAGTCTATTGGATTAAGATGGTCTAATCTGAGAAGAGTTCAGCTGTAGCCTGTTCTTATTTAAGGCTATACCATCTTACAACAGTTTTGAACATTGCTGTGGTTATCTAGGTACTTGAGTCCCCAAGGCTAAGTCACCTGAGTGTATCTTAAAGGGTTCCCCTGACTGCCCATTATCTTCCAGACCACACAGGGGTAGGGGCATTGGAGAGCATGTGACAGCCAGGAGAGGGCAAGTTTTTCTGGCGTCTGAGATTTCAGACTTATCCCACTAATGAATTCAAACCAGTTTACTATGTAATAGAAGCAGAGAGAAGTTGGACTAGATTTCAAGATGACTTGTAGGGCACCTTGTTTATTCTTTTTTATTATTACTATTTTTTTTTTGGGTGAGGCCGTGGGGGTTAAACGACTTGCCCAGAGTCACACAGCTAGTGAATGTTATGTGTCTGAAGCCGGATTTGAACTCGGGTCCTCCTGACTCCAGGGCTGGTGGTCTATCCACTGTACCACCTAGCTGCCCCCACCTTGCTTATTCTTTCAGAAGAGTGACTCTTGTAGTAGGTATAGGATCATTTCATTGTCTCTATCTTCCAAGAGTGTCATTTGGGATGAGGACCAGTTTGGGCCTCTGTTAGGTTGAATTGGTCCCTGTGCCCAGAGAACTTGTGAAATGGCCATGAAATTTTAATCCCTTGCCACTCACTGACCAAATTCCAACTTGTGTTTATTTTGCTTTTTTGCTGGTGTTCAGTGGAGTGATGCCAGTCACACAGATTTCATTGACTCTGCTGGATCCGTGCTGCAGTACGCTTTCACACTTCTGCAGCCCACTAACTCCTCGGCCCGACAACTGCCCCCAAGTGTTGCGAAAGTGGACCCAAAAAGCCGAACACTGTTTCCACTTGGGATGGGGCATGCTGTTGAGTACGTCCGACCCCGAGTAGCACTCATTGGGTAAGGACAGAAAGAACAGAGCTGAAGCTTTCTCTTGCTGAATAAGAGGCCAAACTTGTTTCTGCTTTCTTTCTAGGGATGCAGCACACAGAGTCCATCCCCTAGCAGGGCAGGGGGTCAACATGGGATTTGGGGATATTTCCAGCTTGGTCCGTCACCTCAGTAGAGCAGCATTTAATGGGAAAGATCTAGGTAAGGATTCAGAGTGGTCTTCTCTGGCTTGTTAAGATGCCTGTGGTAAGAAAGGGCAGGAGGTCAGGTAAGCCCACTGGTGTGAATTGGGTTTACTGTGGGACAGTACAGAGCATTCCAGTCATTCCTTTTTCCTTTAGGTTCCTTGAGCCACCTTACAGAATATGAAACAGAGAGACAGCGGCACAATGTCTCTCTCATTGCTGCCACAGACTTGTTAAAGAGGCTTTACTCCACAACTCTTTCTCCTCTGGTGTTGTTAAGGACGTGGGGCTTGCAGACAACAAATGCTGTTTCTCCACTCAAAGTAAGAAGTGCCCCTGCCCCCACACAAAGCTCTAACTCAGTAGGGACTTGGGCAGACCTAGCGGTGTGGGGCTGGACTACTTCACTCAGTAGAGTCATTTAACTGATGTGGACCCATTTTCTCATTTGTACAGTGGGGAGGAGACCTTTTTATAAATTGGGTGAGGATGCTGTATTGTTAGCAGGAGTGAATTAGGAGAGATGAAATGAACCCATTTCTTTTGCTCACTCTTATATGGGCCAAACAAAAGATCAGCTAAACCTTAGAGGAAAATAAGAATAATATTAGGTAGTATTTATATAGTGCTTTAAGGGTTGAAAAATACAAATATTATCTCATTTTATCCTCACATTGACTCTGGGAGGTAGGTGCTGTTATTCCCATTTTACAGATAAGGAAACTGAGGCAGACACAGGTTAAGTGATTTGCCCAAGGTCACACAGCTAGGAAGTGTCCATGGCCATTCCGCTTCCGGGAGCCAAGATGGCGGAGTGAAAAGGTAGTTGCTCTCACTCTCCCCTATCAGCTTCTGAAAACCCAGAAAATATCACCCCAGGAAAAAAACCCTGGAACACCTGAACTAGAAGAAAGACGAGGAGCAGCAGTGCAGCAGCCCAGCAAACGGGTCTCCAAGTGCCTCAGCAAAAATAAGGGAGGCAGAACTACAAGGGGCCCCAGGCGGACAAGTACCCTGCGGCATTCATCTGAAAGGAGGTGAAGAAAACAACCTAAAGGCTTCCTAAAGCCCCAGCCTTGCTGATTCCAACCCAACACCAGGTGAACTGTAGGAGCCCTGAAGCCTCCAATTGTGAAGAGATCCTGAAGCCCAGGTGGTAGAGCAGGCAAACACAACACCTGGACCTCCGAGTGCCTCAGTGAGGGCGGGGGGAACTGGTGGAAACCAGCTCAGAAAACCACCAGGAGCCTCAGCACTCCACCGCAAAGGAATCTCCCGGTGCATTAGCAGAAACGAGGGAGACAACACTGCAGGGGGCCCCAGGCAGATAAACACCCTGCAGCACCCATCTAAAAGGAGCTGAAGAAGCTAAAGGAAAGGAAAAGCAGGCAACCTAGAATTGCCTGAAAGTTCCAGCCTTGCTGATTCCAGCCCAACACGAGGTAAGCTGCCAGAAACCTACAGCCTCCAATTCCCAGCATAAGAGGCCCCAGAACGCAAAGCCAGTGACCAAGACCTAGGCTCCCAACACAAGAAGCTTGGGTCAGTACCCTCTGTTCCCCAGCAGGAGAGCTCAATCTCTTTAAAGGCCAGGGAATAAAGAAACACCATGAGTAAAAAGAAACGTACCATAGATTCATATTATGAGAAGAGTGAAGATCAAGACAGAAATTCTGAAGAGGACAACATTGTCAACAAACCCACATCTGCAACAACAAAAGGGAATATGAACTGGTCTGAAGCCCAAAAAGCCTTCTTAGAAGGGCTCAAGAAGGATTTTAATAGTCAAATGAGGGAGGTAAAAGAGTCCTTCAAAAATACAGTTGGCCAGTTGGAAAAAAATACACTGAAGAAAACAAGTCCCTAAAAAACACAATTGGCCAATTGAAGAAGGAAGGACAAAAACTAACAGAAGAGTACGCTGAAGAAAACAAGTCCCTAAAAAACACAATTGGCCAGTTGAAGAAGGAAGTACATTCAGTGAAATAGAGGACTTTCAAGCATTCTTGATGAAAAGACCAGAGCTGAATAGAAAATTTGACTTTCAGATACAGGACTCCAGTGGAACATGAAGAGGTAAACAGGAAAGAGAAATCATAAGAGACTTATTAAGATTGAACTGTTTACATTCCTGCAGGGAAAGATGATATTTATAACTCATGAGACCTTTGTCAGTATTAGGGTAGTTGGAGGAAAAAAATTATATGTATGTATATGTAGATAGATAGATAGAGGGCACAGGGCGAGTTGAAGATTAAGGGGTCATATCTGGAGAATAAAATTAAGGGATGAGAGAGGATTATACTCCTAGAAGAAGAAAGGGAGAGGTAGAATGGGGTAAACTATCTCACAAAAAAAAACAAAAGAAAAGTCTCTTACAGTGGAGGGGAAACGGGGGAAGGTGAGAGAATGAGTAAATCTTATTCTCATAAGATTTGGCTTAAGGAGGGAATAACAAACATTCAGTTGGGTATGGAAATCTGTCTTACTCTACAGGAAAATAGGGGGAGAAGGGGACAAGAGAGCAGGGGAATGATAGAGAGGAGGGCAGATGGGGAAAGGGAGTAATCAGAAGTAAATACTTCTGAGGAGGGACAGGGTCAAAAGAAAGAATAAAATAAATGGGAGGGCAGGATAGGATTAAGGGAAATAGAGTTAGTTTTTCACATGTCTACTATGGATGTGTTTTGCATAACTGCACATATACAACCTATATTGAGTTGCTTGCCTTTTCAATAAGGGTGGGTGGGGAGGGAGGAAGAGAGAAAATTTGAAACCTAAAGTTTTAAAAACATATGTTTAAAAAAAAAAAGAAGGAAGTACAAAAACTAACAGAAGAAAACAATCTGTTAAAAACTAGAATTGGACAAATGGAAACTATTGTCTCTATGTGAGAGCAAGAATCAGTCAAACAGAAACAAAAAAATGAAAAAATAGATGAAAATGTAAAATACCTCATCACTAAAACAACCGACCTGGAAAATCGACTCAGGAGAGATAATTTAGAAATTATTGGACTGCCTGAAAATCATGATGAAAAAAAGAGCCTGGACAGTATCTTTCAGGAAATCATAAAGGAAAACTGCCTGGAAGTCCTAGAACCAGAAGGGAAAATAACCATAAAAAGAATCCACCGATCACCACCTGAAAGAGATCCCAAATTGACAACGCCAAGAAATATAATAGCAAAATTCCAAAATTACCAGATGAAAGAGAAGGTACTGCAAGCAGCCAGAAAGGAACAATTTAAATATCATGGAACCACAGTCAGGATTACACAGGACCTTGCAGCTTCTACATTAAAAGACCACAGGGCATGGAACATGATATTCCGTAAGGCAAAGGAAGTGTCCATGGCCTCATTTGGGCTCAAGCTTTCTCTCCACTTTGCTACCTAGCTACTGTTTAGGAGAGGTAATATTGGCCATGGTATAAAGCTCTTTATGGTGACCTATAGGCAGGACTGAATTGGCTGGAAAGCCTTTGTATCCCTCAGGCCCCTATGTGTACATCTCTGGATAAATAAGATACAGGAAGGATGAATTGGGAAAAGAATCCAAACTGGCTTTTTGGTCTGCTTTCCTTATGTTGTTACAGCATAGCTTCGGTTTCTGTTATCTTTAGCTCCTGCAGGGTTGTAGAAGTGTCACTTAAGAGTATCTTTTTTGTTTTTCTCCATACCAGGAACAGATTATGGCCTTTGCAAGCAAATAAATGCCCTACTTCCTGGTCACTGTTTTGAGGAATAAAGCAGACATAGACCAGATAGACTGCATCAATCAAATACATTGTTGTCAAAATGTAATAAACTTGCTTTTTACTAGAATTACAGTTGTTGGTTTTTTTCTCTTTCTTTGATGACAATAATTTTAAGTGCAAGTAATGTTTCTGTGTGATGGCAGCTGTCTAATAGTGGTCCTGTTAATCCATTGGAAGCACTAGTAACTTGCTATGAGCAAGATGCATTATAGAAGAAGAGAAAGACATCAAAATCAAATGAAGACTGGTGGAAAACAGCCTTTTATTATTAAAACAGATACCAGAGTGCTGCCCAAGTAACTTTTTTTTTCCTGATAACCATTAGCTAAGGGCAGTATTTCTGTTTTTCAAACCATGTTTCAGCTTGAGTTGAGAACTACATATATCCAGTTGACATTTTTAATAAAGTTAGGAATTTGAAAATTAACATTTAAATTATAAATTACTTTAAATTTTGCTATGGTTGCGCTGAACTTTCTAGAGAGAAAGCCAATTCTTGTTAATGTTGTTTATCACCTCACATCAAATTACAGCTTTATTTATGGTTTCCTCTCTGGGAAACCACATCAAAACAACAAATAATCCCATTGCACAGGTTTGAGGACCTCTGAAACGAGGTCAAAAGGAAATTAGCAGCAAAAGTTACACACATGTTGACATACAACACTCCCTCAGCATCTCATGTCCAACTATTATAGTCCAAAACTCCTGAGATTAAACTCTGAGAATAGCAAGAATGAAAAAAATGCATTTTTTGTAGCCCTAGGCCCAGGTAACTACTTTCACCCTGGTTTAGATCCCAAGTCAAGGGTTAAAATCACTGAGGAATTTATATGGAGGCAACTGATAAAAGCCTTGTGGTTCTCTTTTTTCCTAGGGGGTGCTATTCAAAGCAAGACCCAATTAGTATCCCTAATTCCCTAGAATTAGAAAATTTTTCTACTAACCCTTTAGTAGATTGAAGACACTTAAATGGTTAATTTAAGGACTGGAACAAAGATGGTGACAGAGACTCAGGTAATCACTTTAAAACCTAACGACAGTATCTAAGACTCTAGAGTCCAAGGATTAAGTTGCCATATCACTTCAGATTTTGAGAGTACTACATTTTTGTCTCTCCAAGTCATCTTGCATGTTATAGTAAAAAGTCTGATTAAAAGATTTTAAGAGAAAAGAGAAAGGTATGTTGGCCATTGCTAAATTTTTCTTTGAAATGACCAATATCTGGGAAAAACTAAGTGGATGAGCTTAGCCTTTGAAGAAAGAACAATGAAACATTAAAAACAATCTCATAGGGAAGCCTTTCATTGGATTTAAATTCAAATCTTTGGTCTACGTCCTGATAAGAAACCAATTTACTTGTATCCAAAAGCCCATTATGAGAGATACAGAAAAGAATGAATTCCTGGAAAAGTGGTGCTTTAGTTGTGTTTTAGTAATGCATGCAACAGAACCATATGCCTAATAAACTATAGGAGGGCTAAGTAAAATGTGCCAAGGTCAAAATTAACCAGGAGAGAGTTGTTGCAAGCAAAAATGGCTTTTTTTTTTAAGGGAAGAGCCAGTGTGAAAATGGACCACCTACAAAGTTGGTATAATCAGAAAACTAGGTGGTCCAGAAAAGAGATTGGGGAACAGTTTTGCAAGAGCTCTAAAACCAATAAAAAAGGGATTGTTTAACTATATCAATGGAAAAAAGCAGCTAAAGAATCAGTGGGACTCTTTTAATGACTTTGGGCTTAAATGAATGAAAAAAAAGATTCTTTCATCTCCACACTAAGCTCATTATGTTCTAATTTGCGTTATTTATTTTAATATAATCTTATCACCCCTACTATATATAAGCTCCTTAAGGGCAGAGACTGTGTTACCTTTATATCTCCCTTAGCACCTTTCTTGATACATTACAACAGCAGTACACAGTAGGTGTATGATAAATGCTTACTGAATGAGGATGGATGAAAGACTGAATTTTTTGAGGTTAGCAGGAAAATTACTACTCCTAAATTGCCCTCTGAAATGAATAGGTTGAAGTACTAGATTCCATAGCTCAGCATGTTCTAAGAATGACAAAATCGGGCAGCTAGGTGGCGCAGTGGATAGAGCACCAACCCTGGAGCCAGGAGGACCTGAGTTCAAATCTGGCCTCAGACCAAACACTTGACACTTAACTAGTTGTGTGACCCTGGGGCAAGTCACTTAATCCCAATTGCCTAAAAAAGAAAAAGAATGACAAAATCAATGTAGGTATGAAGCATTAGGATCTGGTGGCATCATTCTGAATTTTGAAAACTCAAGAATGAACATGGAATTGTTGGCCAAAATGTACAATCTGTTGTTACAGATGACTTCTGCCATTGTATTGGATGATTAAAAGTGCGACCTCTTTTCATTAGGACGCTAGAGAGAACATAAGGAAGACCAGTGAGTCTCACTTCTACCCTGGGCAAATGTGTAGACTATTAGATGGATCACTAAAGAGAATGAATTGAGGTGAAAGGCAACTTGGTTTCTGCAGAAAGAAGTCATGCTAAATCTGATTAACAGATTGCATCCATGGGTTCCCCTTCATTTGTTTACTTATCTCCATCAATGGCACCTAGTTGGCCCAGTGGATAGAGTGCTGGGCTTGGAGTCAAGAACTGAGTTCAAATCCAGCCTCAGACATGTGCTAGCTGTATAACCTTGGGCAAGTCACTTTACCCCTGATTACCTTTATCCACTGGAGAAAGAAAGGATAAACCACTCCAGTATCTTTGCCAAGAAAACCTCATAAAGAGAACAGTCCACAAGGTCATGAAGAGTTAGACGTGAGTGACTGAACAACAAAACTCCCCTTAAAGATACATCGAGTACCAGTGGATTTGAGTCATCTTTCAAAAAGACTTAGACAAAGTTCCATGCCAAAAGCTACTAAAGTAAATGAATCATTCTAGGATTTGGGAGTGATTTTCTGACTTGAAAATTGGATTAGAGAGAGAAAATGGGCACTTTTCTAAATGGAGAAATGGGGGGAGGCGTGGCAGGGGAGGGTGATGGTGTCAGTTTTGGCATCTTTATAAATGATTCAGAGAAGTACATAGTGTAATCTCTTAAGTTTGCAGAAGGTAAGCTACATGGGAAGCAGTTTGCAAACCTTAAAAAGTTAGCTATTAATATACATGAAGACATTAGTGGACAGAGATGTAGGTGATAGGGTTTAATGGGACAAGTATAAGGTAATGCACTTTTGGATAAACAGTTCAAACATACAAAAAATTAAGAGGTCTTAGTGATTGGATTACTACCCATAAGTGGGCTGTGATGACTTGGGAGACCATAAAGATTGCTTTCTGAGAATGCCCACCCCAAGGTGCTGCTGTAGCCAACAAGGCAAACAATGTTGAGCATCATTAAAAAAGGTACTGAAAATAAAGCAACAGACTTTTTGTCCTATCCTTCCATTAGAACTATAGGACGTCCACCCTGGTAACGCTATAGGCAGTTCTGGCTGCCACCTCAACAAAGATCTTATAAAACTGTAGAAGAACCAGAGAGTGGTGACCAAAATAACTGGCACATGAAAGACTAAAAGACTGGGAAAAGACTGAGAGAAGACATGATTAAAATCAATAAAAATATGAAATGCTGTGGAGAGGTGAGCACACAAGCTTGTTCACCATATGTGGAAATGCTAGGATAGAGTGCTGTCTTTTAAAACTTTTGCGAGTTAAGTTTAGGTGACAAACATATAGAATCATGGAATTTTAGAGCTGAGACAGTAGAGACTATGAGACATCAGCTACCCCAAACAGAAAATGCATGTTTTTAAAAAGATTTGCTCCAACGTGTGCCTCATAAGAGCCATAAATGCCTACTAAGAGAAACTGGAGCATCCCTGGTCTTTAAGATGGACTTTAAGGAAGACAATAATGTCTGAAAGCATGCCCCTCAAGACTGCCGTTGGCAAAAAAAATATAGGTTGGATGGACCAAATAGACCCATTAGAAAGTACCCCAGCTTAAAAGATGGGATGAGACAAAAGAACTTGGTGTACTGCCAAGTTTTTCTTAGGAATGAACAATCAACATCCATGAATAATCAGGTGGATAGGCTCAGCCAGAAGGAAGACAATTTCTGTGTTCCTAAATATTGCACTTTGCACATATTGGTGAAAATCATGAGATTGCCCATGAGACTTTTATCACAGGAACTCCCCATTTTCCTCACTAAGATTTAAAACGGCCAGCCCAAGGCGCTCTGGTTGGATGGAGGTTACTGACCAGAGTTATAATGGGCAGCACTGTACATGATTTCAGATACGAAGCCATTCATTGGTAACAAGTTTGTTTTTTTTTAAAAGGCCTAAGGTTCCACACCTACCCCCCTCAGGCAAAAATAAACAAAAAACACCCCAATTGTTATTGAATGTGTTATCGGATTACAAATAAATCATTTTAACGTACAGAAAAACTGGAGCTTTTCCAAAAAGATGAGAATTCCAAAGGTTGGTTTTTCTTTCAGTTTTCTTTGGTCCCACACGGTTGGCCAGAAGTTGACTCTGAAGACTGTTGGGGCTGCAGAGTTGACTTGTAGAGTTTGTTCCTGGAATCCCAACCCAAGGGTAAAATTCCTGATCTACCCTTTTTGGCTGATGCGGCTTTTCACAACACAGAAAGAGGCTCAAATGCTTAAGACTCTGGTACTGGCTCCAAACATTCAGAAAGGTCAGGTGACAGCTCACATTAAATGTGTATAATTAATTAAACAGAAATCATAAGGATCTAGGTCAAATCCCATCTACTAATTTCTCTAGCTTCTTATGGAGCTGGTTGCTTAGCTTTGGTCCATGGTATTCTAGACTCATTCAGTGAGTGGGTCATCACTCCTCATTCTGGAAAGGTCACTGATTGGCATTTGTAGTCCCTGGAGGAAGTACTTGGGCCTCAGTGGAAAAGGTCTAGAGACTGCAGTAGATGAAAGGTAGCACCCAGGGCCCAGCCAGTCTCTATGTTATTCACTTTCTTTGTGAGCTATGGGAAAGAAGAAAAAAAAATCCAAGCATTTGTCCCCCATTTTCAATTGGTAAATTTAACATTTAAGTAAAGTGCTAATTCTCAGCTAATGAAATCCAGCTGAATTATAATATGCTGAAAGCCAAAGCACATGGCCACTATCTCTCTACCCTTAGAAGCTGCTTTGTTTCTGAGGCTGTCCTAGGGACATAGAGATGTCAATTCTGAGGCTGTCCTAGGGTTTGGATTCACTTCTTAGTAAAGGCAGGGCTGTGGTTCTGTTTGGAATCCATAAAAGGCAAACCTGGAATAGCCCTGAAACTCCAGAGAGGTCCTAAAACCAACCAGCCCCTCCAGTCATCCTGTAATGGGATTATCTACAATTGGCTTGGATTTATACTTTTCTGTATTCAGTCTAAATTCTGCCCACAGTATAATTTGTCAAGTAAAATGGATCCTAGCACAGGTAGGAATGGGTAAAGTTCTTATATTAATGATCCATTAATGTTAATACTATGTTTTTACATTTGAACATAATTAACATATTAGTTATTAATAGTTCAATAGTTTAAAGTCTGTTATTTCGTCAGTATAGGTACTTCCTATAATGCTGCAAATTTAAACCCCTTCGTAGATGATCTTCCTCAGATGCTGTTGCTGAAAAGTTAGTCATTGGAACTCAGACCTGGGTTTTCTAACTCTACTATGCCATAGCTGTCTCTATCTTTATGGAGACAGTCAAGGGTCAAAGTGGAAAGATCTGATGTATGTGTAGTTGGGCTCAAATGCTAGTGCTCATCATGACATTACTACTGGAGCACCGGTCATATGTTCTTGTTGATACTTATATGACATGATTTAAAGAGTCCAGGAGGGGATCCCTCCCCCAAAATATCCTTACAGATGCCTGAAATTTCAGCATTAAAGAATTTAGGTTAATTTAAGTCTTAAATTTCTTGGGTCAAGCATATCAAATGCAACTAATTCCTTAAAGGGAAACACACTATGTTACTAGCACTTTAGTATGAATGATTATATTACTTTATTCCATGCCATGATAGATATGGCACTATTAGTGAGTTGGCAGTTGGGGACAGGGCACTCATGGGAGGGAAAGGGGGGGGGCAAAGGGAGACTAAGAACACGGAAGACAGCCTTTAGCCTGCTGCACAGTTTATCTATGGCCAGCTCTGACTACCAGAAAGGTTTTTGGCTCCCCACTTCTCTCTGTTAGTCTTTCACCATCACTACCCAAAAGAAACTAGAGCTGGTCTGGGGAACATGCTGGGTTTATTGATTGTGTCTCTCACCTGTAAGATAGTACCGTCCATGAACCCAAAGCCATCCTTTAATAAGGCTGTTATGTAACTGAGATCCATACACAGGAATGGACTGCCCGAGGTAAAGTTTTCTAAGTTATCACACACTAGCAAGAAAAAGGCAGCTATTAATATTATTACTGGACCAGTTAATAATAGGAAATTTAAGTTCTCTTCTAACACTGCAAGGGTACATTTTATTGCATTTAAAAAAGCACTCAATTAAACTTCTTAATGCTTCACTTGAAATTAAAGCAAAGATGGGAGTTCTACATATTCCATAAAACCTGCATTCAGAGGGTCACCTCCCTCCCCTAATCTTTCCCCTTTCCCCTTCCTCCTCACATATAAAATAAAAATGCACTGAAGCTAGAGTCTCTTCCTGCTCAGCTAGAATTCTCTCCTGATTGCCTGAGTAAACCTGTGACATCTCAGTGAACCAGGGCTACCTGCTGTTAATCACACAACTACATCCTATCCACTACGGATCCTAGGTCGATTGCTAAATACCCCCTGAATGATGCATTCTGGAGACTGAGTTCTAAGTTCCTCGTTTGTTACGAATGCTGGCTGGCTGCTGGAGGAAACAACCAGGCAACTTCTTAATGGTTCTATTTTGGAACCATTTGAAAAGAGCATGGATATTTTTAGCTGTTAAGAAGGATCCTGGTGTAACAAGTTCTATGTTTAGTATCAATCTTGGTGGTGCTTAATAACCACACTGACATTCCTCACAAGAAGTATTAAGGGTTTTTTAAAAAATATATTGTAGGTCCAACATTTTAGAGCTAGGACGGACCTCATCGATCATGCAGCTCAGTCCCTTCCCTGCCACAGATGAAGGAAGGAGGTTAAGTAATTTGCTCAAGGCAGCACAGATAACTAAACATGTTTTTCTTCTGCGCCAGATTTCCTTGCAGCTTATAAACGTCTCATAAGCCTTTGAAAAAACTCATATACAAAGAGGAAATCAGTCTTCTGGAGAAAAAAGAGCTGAAATGCTCTGTAATATTTAGGAACTAGGTTTGTCTTTTCTCAAAGGTTTAAGGTGTCTTATGATGACACTTACCTTCCCTGGCTTTTTTTTCAAAGTCTTTCACTTTTAAGACGCCTCCCTTTTCATAATCTGAAATGGAAGAGAAACGTAATTGAGAACAAAGGGACTTCATATAATAGGTGTAGGCTTCTGTGAGGCGCCTGAAGTTCTTCAGATCATGCTCCCATGTTTAATCGAGTGATCAGCATGAGAAAAATGAAACATGCATATCTGGACAAAAGCACTGGGCAGAATTTCTCTCTCTTTCTCTTTGCCTCCCCATAATTTTCTCTCAGGGCTGATATTTTGAGTGGACTTACCAATCATGTCTGTGTCAGCAGCTCTATCATAATAATAAGAAAAGGCATAAAAGGAGCTTCTGCGGATCTCATCTGGCTGGTGAAGTTTTCCTCGAACCACCCGAAGCACTTCAGAATAGCAGGCCTCAAACCCTGTCTCCCCTGCCAGGATAAAGATACAAAGAAGTAAGTTTAGAGAGATGAACAAAGGACATTAGTGTAAAGAGATGTGCAGAAGCTGATGGGGAGGAAGCAGAAGGAAGGTGGAGAATGAGAGCAAAGAGGACCGACAGCCAAAGACCAATTCAACATCCATTGGTCTATTCAATGTCTGTGTACAAGGCACTGTGCTTGGAGGTTTAGAAGATAAAAAGATGAGTACGGCAGTTCCTGCTCTCCAGGGGCTCATAATCCAGTAAGGAGGAAGAGGCATATGTGAAAAACTACAAGGCAGAATAGGAAAGTACTTTAAGACAGGTATGATGGAGGAGGAATCAGGAAAGGCTTCCAGAACATGGTAGCATTTGAACTTGGCTGTAGGGGCTAATTAGGGGGAAGAAATGCCAAGGTGAAAGGTAATAGCAAAGACATAGAGGCAGTAAAGTGTGGGCTCTGTTTGGGAGAACAGTAAATAGTCCCATTTTGTCACAGCAGAGTGTAAGGTAAGAGGGCACAAGGGGATTTTGTAGCTGCCTTCCAAAGAAAGGTTCATTATGGTACATCCTTGTTCTATAATCCAGAACTGTGGAACAGACACAACTGAATTCAAGCTGCTGTCTCTAGAACCATATTTCATAGTATTTATGCTTAAGTACTCAAGAGTACTTCTCCAGTGAATTTTGTCACCCTTAAAACTAGAACATATGTAAATCTTCTTTGACAAATCCAAGGACTTGACTGTTGCTTGTTCCAGGTATTCAATTAACTCTAAGGCCCTGCTCTAAGAAAACACTTAATATGAATCATCCTTCCTACACTTTAAATCTGACATGTGACCACAATTTATGTAGTTCAGCAATGACTGCCTCAAGAGGTAACAAGTAAGGTTTCACTCTGCTGAGTCCCAGAGACCTTACAATGACACTATACTTGGGAGATATACAACACTTGGCCCTAGAAATAGAATGGGCCACATGATGGCAATACCTTTATTCACCGAGGCTGCAGGTAGGCACACCAAGAGAGACACCAAGCTATGTGTAGAGTGAGGTCCTGCAGTTTGACACTTCCCTCTTTGGGACAGGAGATTGGTTCTTATAGGAAAGACAAATATAAGTCCTGGAGGGCTTCTGGAATAAATGTCATTTCAGCCTAACACAAAAACCATGCTCACCTTCCTTTCTTCCACCATAGTGATATTTCACTCCCCCAAAATCCCATTCTGCCTCCAACCACTTGGGTAGACAGGAACTTCGGAATGTCTGTCCGTCAACGGCTAAAAGGGAACCAAAGGAGTCAGGAGTGAGGCAGTACAGGAAAAGGTGGGAGGATGAGTGGCCATTACATTTAACAAAAAATGGTTGCAAGATAATTCCTATTTCAAGAGAATCAGATTTAGGATGGCTGAGTCCTTCAGGCCTCTCTAAGGGAACTAAGCATTTCTCAGTTCAATGAATAAAGGACTATGGCAGCTGGTGGTGCAGTGGGTAGAATACAGGGGGTGTAAGCAGGAAGATCTAAGTTCAAATCTGGCCTCAGATACTTATTAACTTTGTGGCCCTGGAGCTGATGATTTCATGCAACTCTGCTTCACGTAAATCTAATTTATGCCAGAGTCTAACGGCATCACCCGTAACATTTTACTATTTGTGTCCAGCCTGTGGTAGAGCCTTCCGAGCTTGTGATGGTCTGATCAGCCACAGCTGGACACACTGTACACTGATCTCAACATCATGATGTCATTTTGGGCTTCTTGGAGGGCAAAGGACAAACAACAATGTAACCGTGAGTTAGTCACTTAACCTGTATCTCCCTCTGTTTCTTCAGCTACAAAACGGAGATAATAACAGCACCTACCTCACGTGGGATTGTTGTGAGGATCAAATGGGCTGATAATTGTAAAGCACGGAAACTGTCTGGCACACAGCAGGTGCTATACAAATGCTTATTCTTTCCCTTCTAAAACCCTTGTTGGATCCCAGATAGAAAGCACCACTCATTCTCCCAGCTCTTCCTACCCGTATTTATGATTGTTTTCCATTCCGAAACAACCCCTAGTTTCACTATGTGCAGGTAATAAAACCCCACCTATTGTTGTTCATTATTTCCATCAAACCGTGGTATTAAGCAAAGCCATGTTGTATATTCACCACTCATCTGATTTTTATCTTGGGCAATTAGTTAAACAATATTAAGCTAGGATTTTAAGACATTATGACTGGGTTTGGTTATATTAATGACTACAGTGAAACAGTATTAATTAGTCAGGGCAATAGTATATAGTGTATTTTGCACACACTTCCAAGTGCCGACCCTACACTGTCCGTTTGGGACAGATGACCGCCAAGAGAGGGGAGAGCGGATCTCAAGGAAGTTAAACGTGTATCACTCTAACCATCCCCAACACAGCAATGGGATCAAATCCAACCTTCCGTGTCCAGGGCTCCCAGGGTCGCGAGCCTAGCGGCTTTTAGTCCAAATCCTAAGTAACTGCCAAAGAAATGAGAACAAAAGTTGCCAATTACATCTCAGTATTGTCCTGTCTCTCTCTCTCTCTCGAATTCCTTTGAACTATCTGTTTTCCCTAAAACTACACAGTAAAAAGAATGATGGTACTTCTTCCCTCTCAACATATTTTCTGGCTCTTTCCTTTTGGAAAAAGAGAGAGGTTCAGTTTCTGTGGCCAGTTAATCATTTCTGGACAGTCAGTCTTTGGACAGTTAGCCAGTGATGGTGACATAGGATGAGAGTTCCTGCATGATTCTTATTTAGCGATATGCAGCAACAACTTTTATTTTCTTTCTTTCTCTTAAAAAATCCCATTCATATGCCAGCCAGAAGATGATGATGATGATGATGATGATTCTTCAGATCTCATTTATCACTCAGAAGTTTTTTGTCATTGTAGCTCTTACCTTACTACGTACTCTAATTATAGTTTCTTAACCAAGGTGAATGTTTTAATGGATGGCCAGCTCATACTGCAGGGCTGTACATATTGAAGAGCTCATTCTCTAAGAACTTTATTTCTTTCCAGATAAACAAAGTGTTATGCATTCGTGAGGACAAGAAACAGTCATCCTCTTATGACCTTCTGGCTTTGGTAAGAAGCATCTTGAATTACAACTCACAGGCTGTGATAAACACCTCACAATACATTAGGCAAGGAGGGAATGAAGAAAGAAAAAACCCCACAGACATGTTTCTTGAAGCTGATCAAATGAAATAACAGATATAAAACATTTTGAAAATTTAAGGACATTATACAAATGTGAGATACATATAACTATTCTACCCTGTCACCTTCTTCACCTATGTGTGTAGAGCTCATACGTGCTGTTGAACATCTCAAAGGATGTGAGATAGTCACTGGGGGTTTGTTCCAGGGTTTTCTATAAATCAAAAAGATGAAAAAAAAATCATTGTTCAATATTGACTAAATAGGGTCACTAACTCTCTCCCTCCAATCAGATGGCAGCAACAGGCTAAAACCATGCATTCTATGATGAAGGGACCAGAGGCAGCTAAATGTACTGAAAAGGGACAGTGATTATGGCAAGCTCACCCAGTAGCTAGGTCTAACTCAACCAGTTCCTCCAGGGACTCGCATTCTTCTGATTTAGGGATACCTGAAAGCTAAGCTGCTAAGAATGGGCCTTTGCCTACTTGGTCCCAAAGCAAATCTGTAAACAGTAATAATAATAAAGAGCCATAATAAAAACTACTCACCTTAAATTGGGGCAGGAATGTAATTTGGGTGGAAGCCCCTCCCAAGTCCAGAGTCCCAACGGTCGTCGGGTTTTGACCATGCAATTGACCTGCAGACAACAGCATACTCTGAACAACTAATCCTATCTGGTCCCCAAAACTGCCTGCATCCTTCTCTATCTGACCACTACTAGTACAGTTAATTAACTAATGAACTTTCTCTTCTTCATACTAAAACCTGCTCTCTTGATTTCAGAAGGAAACATGGAATCTTGGAAGCAATGATGGAAAAATAATCTGTATTTGTGCATGATGGCGACAGAAAGTAGTAATAGGGAAAAAAGGTTTTCTTGCCAAAACCATCACTGACCCAAGGAGGATACATATCTGTGAACTGCAAATCCAGATGAGACAAAGGAAACAGTTTTAACTTTCTGTAAGATTGGTGGGAACCAAGGTGGGGAACTTAAGGTGAATTGTGGAACTTATTTACCTGTTAGAAAATTCACAGTAACCCAGGCTAATATTCCTAAAACAAAACAAAATTATTAGAATCTAGAATACATTTTTTCTCCCTTCCCCCATCATTGCCCTTTCTATGCCAATTTTAATTTCCTAACCACATATTTCACCTCCCACTCTCCCCAATTTCCCCTTCCCTATAGTCCACTTTTTCCTTCAAGTTCTTCCAATTAACTAATTTCTTCCTTTATTAAAACTCTATCATGCTTCTTTCCAATTATATTCTTTTCTCTATCCATGTCTCTCTTTTCCTAAAATATGCACCCACACTTTTCCACACCTTCATAGGATCCATCCATGATGCTAACACTGTCTTCTGGGACCAGGAAAGGTGATTTTTTGAAGATCTCCCTTACCTAGGAGGACAGAAATTTGGATTTCCTCAACCAGTTAAACCAATTCCCATATCATGTGTATTATTGATAGGCTCAGAAAACAACCCCCTCCCTTTTTCCAAGGTACTGAATTTAATAAGACTTATTCTCCCAGAAGGAGCTAGATAAACAAATACCATCTTCTTGAGTGAAAAAAAAAAGGACCATTTCATGAAGGTTCTTTATAATCTGAGACACACTGTACTGTTTGGAGACCCTTTGATTGAATCCAAACTTCACAGAACAAATCCCCTGAATAAAAGGATTTGTTCTGTAAAACTTGAACTCAGTGAAAAGGCTGCACCCAAGTACCTAGAAAGCCACATGGGGCCTCGAGGCTGCAGGTTCCCCACCCCTGCTAGATCACTGATTAGTTTATAGGGGTACTGCAATCTTACCACTGGAGGAGTGAGTGCTCACAGTAATACATTTAAAGATTCCTGAAGTATCAAGCAATATTAACAATTATGGAATTGGACATTGGAAAGATTGTCAAGTTTGTTTGCAAAGGTATTGTAAAAAGAGCAACAACGGCACTTTTTTTTTTTTTGGCAATTGGGGTTAAGTGACTTGCCCAGGGTCACACAGCTAGTAAGTGTCAAGAGTTTGGTCTGAGGCCGGATTTGAACTCAGGTCCTCCTGACCCCAGGGTCGGTGCTTTATCCACTGCGACACCTAGCTGCCCCAAGAACTTCACTTTAAAGGAGTGAAAAACAATAAGGAAGACATTAACATGGAGGGAAAACGATTGCTCAAGAAAAAAGGGTTTCAGAAATTACTTCCGAGAGCAGAGCCTGGGCTTTGTGTTCAGGCAGGAGCCGAAGTCCTGCAGTAGCTTTTAATACCACTGGGGTCCTTTTCCAGTGACTCTGGGGGACTGATTCTTTGGCTATTTCTAAGAGTCTTCGAACAGTCTCAGCACCCTGAAAAAGAGAAACTTGGTCAATAGAAGGTACAGATCCATTGGCTGGGATTGGCTTCTTCTCTAGGCACTAGAGTGGGGGCACTAATATGGCTCTGGTTTGAGAATACAGGCTAAAGAAGTAGAACAAAATGTAGAACTGGGACCATTTTGAGAGGGAGAACACAAAAAAAGAATCAAATAATTCCTCTCTTCTGCCAGGGTGCTATACTTTGACCAAACTCCATCATCATCATTACTTTTGTTATTCTTAGCAACAACATGAATCTGTTTTTCTGCTGCTAAGATGACTTCTGACATGGTGGCTTTCAACACCTCCTAATTTTCTGGCACCTTCTCCAGTTCAGCATTGCTGGTCCACACATTGTTCCCAAATACCCTCCTCTGACTCTGGCTACCTTCTATTGACAACAGTGAACTAGAAAAAGTAGCCTCCTCTTACTTAGAACCACAAAGGGAGGGGCTTAAGAAATAAATCTATTCTGGTCAGATTATGAAACCTGCAGACCAGAGAGGTTAAGTCATGGAGATAAAAGAGTGGTAGAGATGAAATGGGGACCCGAGTCCAGTGGTGTTTCAACTGAGCCATGCAAACTGTGCTTCTTCCCTAAGCGTGTCATCTGGGATATGACTTCTCCAAACTCAAAGATCTTTAATATCAGATTTTGCTTTACATAGAACTTGGAGGCTACTTAGATGTGCTTATTTCTGCTACTAAACCTTTGACTCTTGCCTTGCTGTACTCGATCTCAGTACAGACCATGACACTGGTGTGTCCCTGCCTCCAGAGATTAAAATATAACCAATGTGAACCTCTCCATTCTCGCAACCCCTCTCCCTCCTGGCTCCTTCCTACCTTCCATGGTTCAGGCAGATCAATGAGTCAACACTGGATGAGAGCAGTCAGTCAGCAGATCTGAATTCTCTCCCTGGCTCCACCATTAACCAGCGCAGTGACTGGGGGTAAGCAGTTTCACTTCTCTGGTCTTTAATTTCCTCATTCATAAAATGAAAGATTGGATGAACTGGTCTTCATGGGCTCCTCAAGCTCTAACATTTGTTGATTCGGTTGAATTTCATTTACTTTAGGTTGCATGGTAATCCATGTTTAAACATGCCTTTATGTCTTTGATAAGCATATCTATTTTTAGCTACTAAAATTAAATCAATGACTTTGATCTTAATATATCAAGCAATAGTAATATAGGAAACAGTTTTGACTTCCAGAGAATTTTTTTTTCCTACCCTCTCATGTAAACCCTGCCTAAATCCTACGGAATTTGCAGTGGGGAAATCCTAACAGATTAACTGAGAAATGAAAACCAAGTATATGTGGGACCCAATCTCATCAATGAATAGCAGGAAATGTTAAAGCAGCAGTGGTGGTTGTAAAGCTGGAAAGTATTCTGACTGCACACATCCCGGGGAAAAGGCCTCACCTGCTTCGGTTGATCTGCAAAGGCAGAAAGCCCTGGCTTCACCGACTCAAAGATTTCCCCTTCCAATGTTGGAAGATGGTCTATAAAAACACAAATTGGGTGAGAGATGGTTGATCCTAAAAGAAATGAATGCCTCCTTCAGTTCAGTTTTTGGATCACCTTTCATTCTCATCTTCCCACCCATTTCCAGAGACTCTCCCTTATAATCATCTTGACCCACTGCTGCCTCTGACTAACCTGTTATTCCCTCGAATTGCTTCTCCAGCTTCTGTTTCTATCTTTAAGCAGTAGACATGCATTTCAGTGTAGCAGTATGACCTACTTCCCTAAGGGTGGTAGTACAGTAATACTGTGACTACTCAAAAGATATCCTTAAGCTTTAAGACAAAGCATTTCCTTGTAGATACTATGAACCTTTGAGTATAATACACCTCCAATGAAGGGACCACCAGATTATAACTGGGCTTTCTGGACATGTTTCAGATTCAGGTAGTCCAGCTTTCATCCTCTGAATATCACAATGACATTAACACTAGATGTAGGGCTATAATCCAAAACATTCCCTGAAGACATCATCCTGCAGTAGCCATAAGATATAATTAAGTCTCACTCACACCCTAATTTAAATTCCTGGCAATCTAGATCGATAGAATCTTTCAGCAGACAGTAGCTACACCTCACCTGGCATCTTCTGCACAAAGGTGTAAACGTGAATTCGAGTTCCAGTGCTCCCTGCATCAAACATGATACCATACATGGTGTTCGTGCTTACGTTGATGGGACACATCGAGGACAAGAAGACACCATCAAACCAAGTCTGGTGTCTGTGGAAGATATTGCCGCAGACACAGGAAACTAATATGGAAAAGGTTGCAATCAGGGACGCGGCCATTCTCTCTTCAAGATCTAGATGGAAAAGAGACCTTCAGCAAATTGTATGGACAAAGCTATATATGGTTAGCTGTTCACATTGTTGTTTATAGCTGTGCAGAAAAAGCAAGCCCATAATAGAAGCCCTGCCTTTGGTACCCAAGGTGTGGCTGGAGGAAGGAGCAGAGCTTATGCTTCTCAGATTCTAATAAGTGGCAGAGCAAGCTGGACAAGGGCAGGTGAAGGCCTTTGTACCTTTTTGTAATAACAGCTGTTTCTGAAAGGGAAAGAAAGCTTAAACTGTTTCCTCTTTTGTTTTTAATTGGAAGTTGTCTCTGCTACCATCCTCTTTTCTTCCTGGGTCAAGTAAAGTTGTATTTGACATTCTGGCAGTAACTTTTACTACTTCTTCTTATGATCCCAAATGAATTTTCAAATTGGCCTCCTTGTGGGTTAGTAGAGAAAAGTCTTTAATTTTTCACTGGTAAAGTTGGGGACATTATCCCTCTCATTTGAGTTTCAATGACTTTTAAAATTGGGCCATCACACTTTGTTGACCTGGAATCAGAGACTGCCTGTGTTTAGCATAACAACAATCTCCATTTGCACATAATTTTATAATTCCCAAAGCACTTTTACATATTTCATTTAATTTTCACCAGTAGTCAAGGAAGGTATTATTTTACAGATGGGTAAATAGACACAGATTTATTAATGTGCAGAAAGCACTCTCAACAACTAGGTGACAAAGTCAAAGCTGAAAGACAGGTGCCTGGATTCCTGTCAGACCCACTTCCCATGATTTACACTGCTTCAGTTCATCACTGACTAACAGCTCCCTCTTGTTCTTCCAGAAGGCAAAAGACAATGTTTTTAAAATAACTTGTTAATATTCTTGGCAATATTTATTTTGCATTCATTGTTTCTGTATTTGCTTACATTTTGTTAGAAAGCAAGCTCCTTAGGGGTTGGGATGGTTTCCTTTTTTGTATCTTTTTCCTGAGCATACAGCACAGTTTCTGGGCACGGAGTAGGCAGCTAATAAATGCTTGACTGCATGAAAATGCTCCTGAAACCCTGCAGTGATATTACATAGGGTTGTTTTGCTATAATTAGAGTTCCAGAAAGATATAGCACAAGGTGGATCATAGAATCATAAAATATTGTTTGAAAGGAATCTTGATGATACCAGGAATATATCTTTTGACATGTAGAACGCAAATCTGAAAAGAAGCTAGGATGCGGAGTTTGTGTTCTTGAAACCTGGGGTTAAAACTTTGTCATAGTCTTTGGAATAATGTAGTCATTTCTACCTGGGAACTTAGTAATTTTTCTTATTGGTAAGACTGAATACGATAAATGAGTATCAGAGGACCCACAGAGCTTTTCAAGTGAGATGTTATAACTAGTTTGCACAAGATTTTTTGTTTGTTTTTCAGTTGTTTTTAGTGGAGTCTGACTTTTTGTGATCCTATTTGGGATTTTCTTAGCAAAGATACTGGAGTGTTTTGCCATTTTCTTCTCCAGCTCATTTTACAGATGAAGAAACGGAAGCAAACAGGGATAAGTAACTTGCCCGAGGTCATACAACCAGTATCTAAGGCTAGATTTGAACTCATGAAAGTGAGTCTTCCTGACTCCAGGCTTGACACTCTATCCACTGTTTCACCTAGCTGTCCCACTGCAAGATTTAGTATGTCATTTATTCAGTCTCTAAAGGAGAATGTGGCCTATTATTAGTAATCTTTACTAGTACAGTTGATGAAAGTCAGATTTCTTATTTAAGATTTAAGGATTCCACTCTTATCATTTACACGTTTATTCTAGTAATACACTGTCACAGCACCTGATTCTGGTTTAATGTATAAATTGCTTTTTACATTTCTCTCCTGTGAGAATCAAGGTTATGGGTTATGATTTGAATTCTAATTCCATATTTTCTGCTCCACAGATCTCTTTTCTTTCTACTAAAGCTATTATTATAATATATACTTTGAGTCTAAGCCACTGATTTTTCAACCTTTTTTGAAGGGTGACACCCAACTTTTTTATACTTAATATTAGTTTTTTAATACGCCCGACCTAAAATTTCTATACAACATGGTTTCTGCATATTTTAAAAATTGAAATGAATTAGAGGAAATTTTGTTTTGAATTTAAGAATTTCATGTCACCCTTGATAAGTGGAGGTATTCTAAGGTGTCTAAACCCTTAACCGGAGACTGACAATCATTGATCAAACCAGGAAATCTATGACCTCATAGACTTCTATTACACAATCATGAATAAGGGCCAACATTTCATCTTTACAAAGAAAATTTTCGTTTAGGCAATCTACAACTGAAACCTATTAGCTGCTTGGAAAGATCTGTAACAAGAGAAGTTGAACATCTAACTTCTCCTCTTCCCCTCCCCCACCCCTACCCTGTTTCTTCACTGTCTTATTGTTCCTAACTCCCTTTTTCTTTCAACTTCAATCTCAGAAACAGCTAAAAACAGAAGTTTCATTTTCAGAGTCTATTAGGTTTATATTATGCCTGCTTTTTCATCAACTTGGGCCTTTGTCAATAACTCCCAAAATGATCAAATTGAGTCCCTTTTCTCCTCTTAGAAAATATGTTTAGAATAAGGTCACTGGGCTTCTTCCATTCATCCACCCAACAAATGTTTTCTAAGTACCCTGGGGGTGCTTGGATGGAAAGAGGGAAAACTAGTGCACACAGCCACTCTTCACAAGGCATCACTCGTGTTTTCAGCTCATTCTGGCTTCTGAAACGCCTTCTTGGCTTCTACTGCCATTAAACAAACATTTCCTTTTGTCCTCAAAGAGATTTCAATAAAAGTGAATACGTTGTAGGTGTCAGGTATCACGTAATGAAAATTGCACAGTCATTCACCAGGTGTTCAGTTTAAAATCAGACAATACAGCTAGCAAAAGTGGGGAACTTTTGTGGTATAATTTCCATGTCCCTTCTATTTTCCTGCTCTATATCTTAAACTTCATTCTCTAATGCTTTTTTATTTTAAAGAATAAATAGCTGCAGAGAAGTGCTTTGAAAAGTTTATTGATCTTCAGAGAAGAAACTCATGTAACTAAGTAGCTCGTGGAATTTTGATTTTTTCCCTACTGAATGATAAATTAACCATCTATGACATTTAAATACTTATTACAAAAATATCAAAGAAAGGCAAATTCCCTCAAATGTCAATCCTAATAAGCTGACAGGATGACTTGATCATGATCAATGTTTTTCATTAGTGTAAAACATTTGCTTACACAAGATTATTAAACACTGAACTTTATTCTAAACACAGCTATGATTTTCTGGTAGTCATATAGGACTAGCAACAATTAATTTGAATTAATGTATTTGTTAAAAATTTTGTATGCCCCACAAAGGATAATCTTGTTTACTTTTATGAAACAGACAGTTTATATTGGACCACATAAATTCAGACTTCTAACCTGACATTCTTTTCAACAGTCTTTCTTTCTCAGTCTTCTGTTTACATCAGGAATTTCCTTTGATTCAATTCATTTTACTTAAAACTTTGGCACATAATCAGGCCTCTTTAGGGTCTCCTTCTAAAGTCTTCTTAGCATGTAAGCTCCTTGAGGTAAGGAACTGTCTTATTTCTCTATTTGTATCTGTAGCACAGTGCCTGACACATAACAAGCACTTAATAGAAATGCTTACTGACTTTCGAGTGTTTCTTTATACTTTTCTTGAAAAGATTTCTCTGTAGTCAGATTGCTCAAGATCCGCACACACCCACGTCTCTTTCCAGCCTCCCCCAAGGCCCAGAGGACCCAAAAGCACAGAAAACCTTGACATTTAGAAGTAACTCACCCACTTTGTATGTCTGCACCTTTCAGAACTTCTGTCTTCTATGCTGTTGCCCTTTGTTCCTACTTTACTTCTGTTCTCTAATCACATTCACCTTTGGGTCAGTTTACAATTCAGTACAGGGCATTTTGCTAACTCATCCTCTGTAAGTTTTCTTCTCTCTCTTCCACCTTTCCTCCTTCTTTACCATTCTTTCTCTAAGTCTAGTTCAGGTATCTTTGCCATATTTTTATGTATGCAATTAATAACATTTTTGCCTATGGAGCAAAAGAAGCTTAAGCCTAGGAGCTTAATTCTTTTCCTTTTCTCTAACATGAATTCAGAGAGCTGTGCAATGAGCAGGAAGGGTAAGTGGGAGCAAGTGTCTATTGTAGCATTAACTGAGGTCAGAGTAGTAACTTCCTGAAACTATATCTGAGGCAAATTCAGTTTGGAGGGGGATGGAGAGGTTGCCCCATGCAGTTAAAAGGACAAATGGGGAGGAGAGAAGTGTGATATTATGTTCTTTCAGGTATGAAGGGTCTCTCCTAGAAATAAAACATGCTCCACCCCATCTCTCCATGTTGACACCCTTGGGCAAAGCGCTATTTATCCTGTACTACTTCGATAGAGTTCTCTGACCAATGTTCCCTGCTATCTCCACTCCACATTATGTTATCCCATAAAAAGCAACATGGAATAATGGAAAGCCAGCCTTGGAATCAGGGAGATCTGGATTCAAGTCTTGATCAGCTGTGTGACTATGGGCAAGTCCTTTAATCTCTCAGTGCCCCAGGAAACGATCTCATAAACTGCATATGACTTTGCCACCTTCATTGGTAGAGGGGGTTTACAAACTGGGACATGAGAACACCAATGAAATCACAACTGTGGGCCAAACCTCCCAAATAGCTCTATATAAGCATTTGATTGTGATCTATTCATCTTCCTAACTGTTGTGAGCAAAGCCCACCACTTCCACAAAAGGTATAATATTGTACTGCATTTCAAAATGTTGAAGTTGACATTCGTCAAACAGTTAGGGAATGGCTGAACAAATTGTGGTATAACAATGTAATGGAATATTGTACCCATAAAAATGAGAACTAGGAATGATAAAAAAGGGAAGATTTTGATGAAAATGATGCTCAATGAAGATAAAATCAAAATATTTACAGTTACAACTATGTAGATAAAAAATAACAACAT